ATGAAGTTAAGAATTTTCTTGTGATGCGGCAAGTGTTGAGGATGGTTGCTTTTTGGAGTGTGTGGAGAGTGTAGGTAGGCATGTGGAGAGTGTTGAGGCTTTGTGTGAGGGACTTAGGTACAATACCGGTGGTTGAGAGGACGATGGGGACTATGTGAACGGTTTGTGCTCTCCACTGCGTTTTGATTTCTATGGCGAGATCTTGATACTTACTTAACTTTTCAGAAATAGTAGATTGTATGTTATGTGTGTTTGGGATGGCAATATCTATCAAATATACTGTTTTGGTAATTTTGTCATGAACTGTAATATCCGGTCTATTGAAATGTATCGTTTTATCTGTAACAATTGTTCGGTCCCAATATATTTTACAATTTTTATTTTCTAAAATTGTTTCGGGCTTATATTTATAGTATGCGATCATTTTATCTATCAGACTATATTTATAAGCTAGGTGTTGGTGTATTATAGCGGATATTTGATCGTGCCTGTGCTTGTAGTCAGTCTGCGCGAGAGACTTGCAAGCTCCGGTGATGTGCTGTATGGTTTCTGAGGCGAGGTTACAGTGTCGGCATAAGTCATTTTGTTGGTTAGGATCATTCATTATAAATTTTCTGTAGTTACGGGTTGCTATGATTTGATCTTGTATGGCCAGCATAAAGCCCTCAGTTTCGGGAAACAGTTCACCTCGCTTGAGCCACTCGTTCGACTTAACTTTATCGACGTGTGGTTGGCTCAAAAAGGATCGATGTCTCCCGTGAAGTGATTTTTGTGACCATACTGCAATCTTGTCTTCATTGCTAATAATTACTTCATTTGTTTGTGTGTCTCGGTTCTGCAAGTTTAGGGGTGTGAAGTTTTTATCTGTTTCTGCAATATGTTTGTGAAGTAATGAATGTTCTGATTTACTATAGAAATAATTTCTAAGATTTGAAATTTGTTTGTTGTGTAGGTTTTGTATGTCTATTAATCCTCTTCCTCCTTCTTTGCGTGGTAATGTCAGTCGTTGTATGCATGATTTAGGATGATGTTTTCGGTGTTTGGTGAGTGTTGTGTTGATGATTTGTTGTAGTTTTCGGGTATTGGTTTTCGACCATTGTATTATTCCAAACGAATATGTGAGAATAGGTATTGCAAATGTGTTAATAGCTTTGACTGTGTTCCTAGCGTTTAGATTTGTCTTCAGAATGAGATTGAGCCTATGTGTAAATTTTTTAATGAGTTCTTGTCTTATATTCTTGTGCTGTATTTGTTTGGACTGCCTAAAACCTAAATATTTATAAGTGTCATTTTCCTCCATGGGTTCAATCGTTTGGCCTGTTTCAAGTGTGTAACTGTTATTCTCAAATTTCCCCTTTACTATTGACATAACTTTACACTTGTCTACTCCAAATTGCATGCCTATATCTATAGAAAATTGTTGTGTTACATCTGCTAAATGGGATAATAACATTTGGTCTGCAGCATATAACTTTATGTCGTCCATGTACATGAGATGTGAAAGTGTATATTGTGTACTGTTGTTAGTAAGTGTGTAGCCTGCAGCTGTTCTGTTTAATAGATAAGAAAGTGGGTTCAGTGCCATGCAGAACCACAAGGGGCTCAAGGCGTCGCCCTGGAATATGCCTCTATTAATATTAATTGGTTGAGTAATTATTGTAGTCGTAGGTTGGTTAATTTTGAGAACAGTTTGCCAATTTTGCATAGTGGATTGTAAAAATACTTTTATTGTTGGGTGAATTTGATATAAATTTAATACGTGTAGCAACCAGCTGTGTGGGACAGAATCAAAAGCCTTTTGATAGTCTATAAACATTGTGTGAATATCTGTTTTACTCTTAACTGCATGGTTCATAACGACGGCGTCAATAGTAAGCTGCTCTTTACAGCCTTGGCTATATTTGCGACAACCTTTTTGTTGTTCCGCTAGGATATCGTGTTTTGTGAGATGACTATAGATAACTTCACTGATGCAAGCTGTTATAATTTTGTAAAAAGTTTGAAGGCAAGTGATAGGTCGATATTTAGCCGGGTTTGTAGTATCATTCATATCTTTAGGTATCATGTATGTTATACCCTGAGTGATGTATGATGGTAGTAACTGTGGTGATTGTATGAATGTATTTAGGTGATTGTGTAAGTATGGGTGTAAGTTTGTAAATTTTTTATACCAGTAATTGTGTATATGGTCTGTACCAGGTGATTTCCAGTTTTGTGTGTGGTTAAGGACATTGATGAATATATCAATAGGTATATTTTCGAATTCCATTTTCTCGTGATCATTGTTCACCTCATGTATCCAAGCCGCTGTATGGTTATGATTTATTGGGTTTTCCCAGATACCTGCCCAGAAATCTCGGAGTGTTTCGGCGGAAGGAGGTTGTACATTTTGGGTTAAGGTGCCTGTGGATGTTAGGTTTCTATAGAAGAATTTCTCATTACTTGAGAATCTACTGTTTTCTAATTTGCGATTGGTGCATGTTGTGTACCTTCTAAGCCTACTTGATGCTGCGTTTAGCTTTTGCTTCATTGTATCCAGATAGTGTGTCATTTGTGTATTGGGGTTTTCATATTGTGCGTGAAGTCGATATTTTGCCTTTATGACTTCCACAGCTTCTATTAGTGTTGGACTTCTGTTACCTCTTATATATTGTGATAATCTTCCTATGTTTGCCCTCAAGCTTCTTATTTTCTTTTCTAATCGTATTTGCCACTTTGGTTTTCTGGTAGTAAATGATTGTCGTTCGATCTGTACTGTGTATGATATTTTGGCTCCGTTATATTTTGCTGCAGTCCAGGCAGCAGAGTAAATAATAGTTTGCAAATCAGTGAAATCAGTATCTATGTTTGCGTACTTAGGGAGAATAACATTGTTAATGTAAGTTACAATACTGGAGAATTTTCTGGATGTTTTTTGTTTAGGAATGTATGGCCTATTGGTGGGATCAGTATCAGTAAAATGTTGATGTGCTTGTTGAAATAAATCTTCGATTTCTTGATTGGTTTCTGTGTTTGTGTGTATCGTGTCAAATTGTCCTAGATCAATATCATTTAGAAAGTTGCCATCTACATTTGGAGAATGTGGCCTAATCGTAGCATCATTGTTTGTATTGATGTCCAGGGAGACATTATTTGTGTGCATGTGAGTGTATATGTCAGATATGCCTGGGTGAGTCTGGATGTTTTCATTGGGGTTTTCCGGGATGTTTAAATGTGTTATATCTGTGTCACGTATTAATTCTTCAGAAACCAGTTTTTTGATTTCTGCTAACCTGCTACTGCCAATATATTTGTTGTTTATAATTACTCTAACTTGATCCGATAACCGCTGCTCGGTAACATGGGATAATTCTGGATAAGCAGTTATGAATTGTTCATGTAAGGATTTCCTATAACCTGTTTTATTCGTTTCTAAGAGAGTGATTTTATAGTATATCTTCATTATTGTTTCATTGTATTCATTAGTCCATTTCATGCGTTGACCGAGTTGTAAATTATGAAGTGTATTTATTGGTGTTTCACGAGTTGGTGTTGAGTGTTGTTGTGTTGTCGTGGTTTTTTGCAGTTCGGCTCTAACTTGATCATAAATCTGGTCTATTGTTGTTTGCGGCAATAGTTTCTTTTGAACTATTGCTCGACGTTGGTCGCCTATGCGCTGACGGCTAACTTCCATGAATGGAAATTTTTCTAGAAATTTTGTATGTAATGACGGAAGGTAAGCATTTTTGTCGGTTTCCATGTGAGTAAGAAGAAGATAGTTGCGTAGGATGAATTCGTTCATATCTGTCGTCCATTTCCTACGAATTGTAGCAGTGCTTGTGGTGGGTACAGCTTCGTCGACAGAATTTGTCAACTGCACAACATCCACTGACTGAACAGTTGATGATGAAGATGGCGTCGGGGAGACGCAGAATGATTGTGATGATGATGAAATAGATGGAAAAAGAGACGTGGAAGATGACGAAGAAAATTGGGAAGACTCGTCAATTAATTGAGGCATAGCCTTAGATTGTTTTTTCAATTTAGATCTAGTAATCATATGATTCCCACGAGTAGCTAGGGACCTAAAAAGTCGACCACAGCAGAGCCCTGCGTTCACTGTGGCAAGGGTAAATAAAACTGGAGGTCCCCTGGTCTCCAGAGTTGGCATACTCTCGACTAAGCACCCCCTTAGCCACGCAGCCCTCAGCGTATGCAACCTTGGCTTGGGTTGTATCTCTTTTAGTTAGGCTCCTCACCCTAGACCTATCTCGATTGACATAAGTCTAAGGGTCAGAGCCCTTAAGCCCCACCACGTCGACAACGTAGAGATACGTCGGTGGGGTTATTATTATTATTATTATAACTTAGAATGAGTTTATTAAACTTGAAAGAGAACAATTTGGAATGGAGCTCGGCTGATTGTATTTCGAGTATAAAGTGATTTTCAATAATACAAGAAGCTGGTAAATTTTATCAAATTAAAATTATGCTTTCGCTCGAACAGTCCATATGACGGGTAGGAATCGTATAATAGGGTAGTTTCCCTAAGTTTTATTTTAATGTCCGTCTGGTACATTAATTTAAATCTTTAGACACGTATTTTTTCTTTTCGCACAAAATAAAATGCTTTCGACGATATATTAATTTGAAATATCGTGTGATGTTACAGCGTGTCACATTTTGTAGCACATTATGACGTAACGACCTCCCACTCCTAAACTTAGCGCCATTTTATCTAAGCATTGCAAGTTAATACGAGAAAATAAAAAAATACGTGTCTAATATTTTTTCATTATCTAACTGACGGACCAATTAGATTTTTAATTTTAATATCCTGCAAACTACCCAATTGTTTATATTTTATCTGCTAGTAGTGAAAACGTACAAAATAAACGCATTTTTTGTTTAAAGCAAGGTTAATTTTGGATGGTACTTACGCTGTAGGGAATGCTGTATGAACGACGTATGGCACCCTCATTTTCATGATTAAATAGACAAACTGTACATTATAATTCCAGGATCCAGTTGGGCAACCAAGTGGAGGTGGACCCTGAGGACATCTCCGTCACATTCGACGATGTCAAGGGAGCTGACGAGGCTAAACAGGAGCTTAAGGATGTTGTAAGTATATATTGCTAGCTTCTGTCAGCGGCTTTGCCCGCGTTCATGGGATAAGCAGTAGCCTGTGTTGTTTCAGATCTCTGCTTCGAGTTATATTTTTTTTTTTCAGATTACTTTTGGCAATGGCTGACTATACGCACAGAAATTAAAAGCTTAAAATCCCGTTTTAAACGACCTTCACCGAGATGCTTATTTAATAAAACATATTTTATTTATATTCAATTTAATATGACTGCCTCGTTGGCCGAGTGGTCGCAAGTGCGACTGCCGGGCATGGGGTCTCGGGTTCGAATACCTGGTCGGGTAAAGTATTACTGGCGTTTTAATAAATATCTCAATAGTAGCACGGATTCTGGAATTGTGCCCGGTGTATGGTAATAGGCTCACCCCCTATTACATGGGACTCATAACATAAATAGTGAAAAGTGGGTGTTGGGTGTTACATTGTACAATGGCATTAAGTGCCTTAATGTGCACCTCTGCCTACCCCTTCGGGGATAAAAGGCCCAAACACAGCACAAAAATCCTTACTAATATTAATTTCCTTCTTACAGGTGGAATTTCTAAAGTCTCCGGAGAAATTCTCGACGCTCGGTGGGAAGTTGCCCAAGGGTGTATTGTTGGTGGGTCCCCCGGGGACGGGCAAGACATTGCTGGCGCGGGCCGTGGCCGGCGAGGCGCGGGTTCCGTTCTTCCACGCGGCCGGACCGGAGTTCGACGAAATACTCGTCGGCCAGGGCGCTAGGAGGGTGCGGGATCTGTTCAGTGAGTAATGTTGATTATTTTTCATGGTTTGGGAAGTATTTCTGGGGAGTACGTGCAGGTTTATTGGGTCCGACATTTCATTTTTGGGGGTTCTTATTAGCGACTTTGTTAGGTTAGGTTAGAGGATCCATTTTGGGGATTTGGTAACCACTTTTAGGGAGTGAAAAATAAACAGGGGATTGTAAACCATGTATGTCTTAACCATTAATTTTAAAAAAGTAACATGTTGAAACTGATTTGTAAAATAATGTTCCTCAGTTTTCCCTTAGCTTGAGGAATCAAACTACACAGGTGTTTTTAGAGAGATATAAATTTAAATAAATGTATTTTCTAATTTTATTTCCTCAATATCTATGTGTATATTGTGTATGTACAGAGGCGGCGAAGGAGCGCGCTCCGTGCGTGATATTCATCGACGAGATAGACTCCGTCGGAGCCAAACGGACCAACAGCGTGCTACATCCTTATGCCAATCAGGTCAGCATAATATAACTTAACCCTTTGAGTACCGTCATTATAGACACAATTAAAGAACAATAGTTTGCGGTCACCGGTGTCCTCGCGGTGTTTGACAGTTTTATAGGATAAGCCGGTAAACGAGCAGACGGATTACCTGATTGTAAGCAATCGGCGACGCCCGTGGACAGCTGGAACACAAGAGGCGTTATATGTACGCTGTCGACTTTTTGGATGCTAGGAATTTGAGGATGTTTGGGATTCGGGGATGGGGGAGGGTCGAGATTTCAGTCACACGACATACCACAACGCTGTGGTGGTTTTTCTATGGGTTTCTGCTCGTCGGTGGTATCACTCCGGTCGAGCCGGCCCGGCAGTACCGAAGCATGGCTCTTCCCTACACGTATTACTATTACAATCAAAGTCAAATTCATTTATTTTAATTAGACCAGGAAGGCATTTTTGAACGTCAAAAGAAAATATTTAAATATTCTATAGGTCAGTCCTCTAGTGAATCACGCAATTTTTAAAGTAACAATTAATAATAGTGGTTCCTCTTATCCTGGGTAATGTAAGCATAACACAATGTATGTTTTTTCTAAACAAGAGGGGGGAAAACTGTCTACTACTAAATTAGTATGTTTTAATCATTTTTAGAATCATAAAATCCGATAATACCAATCATCGATCGTTACTATACAATCAGCCACTTCACTTGGTATGCGGACAAGAAAATAAATACTGATTAAGTACAGATAGGAGAACCTAACGGGTAACCGGGGCTCCGGCTCGACGTGCAGGAGAAGGAACGGGGTGGTTTTTAGTCAGTAAGAGTCTGACACTCCCTCTCGTCTCACCCAGGCGGGAGCAGTCATTCGATGATTTTCCCCCCTTAAAAAAAACCTGCCTCGTTGGCCGAGTAGTTGCAAGTGCAACTACTCGGCCTTCGGTCAAGGAGTCTCGGGTTCGATTCCCGGGTCGGGCGAAGTACTACTGGGTTTTTATAAATTCTCAGTAGTAGCACGGAGTCTGGAATTGTGCCTGGTATATGGCAATAGGCTCACCCCCTATTACATGAGACTCATAACATAAATAGTGAAAAGTGGGTGTTACATAGTACAGTGGCATAATGTAGGTACACCTCTGCCTACCCCTTCGGGGATAAAAGGCGTGATGTTATGTTGTTGTAAAAAAAAACCAGGTCTTTTATACGAATTGTTCACTCAAAAATGTTCCTGCATTTAAAACGTATTTATACCACTATTAAACAATGTTTTTCCGTTTGTAGACAATAAACCAGTTACTATCAGAGATGGACGGCTTCCACCAGAACGAGGGCGTCATCGTACTCGGCGCCACCAACAGACGAGACGACCTCGACCAGGCACTGCTCAGACCTGGACGGTTCGATGTCGAGGTGAGGCAGTTCATTCATGTAACAATTACTTTACCCGAATGAATTTAGTCTAAATATTGAGAATAGGGGATCGGACAACTTTTCAAAAACTATTTTAAACTAATCTTTATGGTTATTTATACCCGTAAAAATTGTTTTTTTTTTTTTCGTTACTGCTTTATTATTAAAACAAATAGTATTTAAAAAGTACGTATTTTAAAATTGCCGCGAAAACATCGCGAAACACCACCAACTGTCAAAGTAGAATGTGTGACGTCATACGTGGGTACGCGTCAACAGTGCTAATCCAGTAAGACGCCTGTAATATGTTTTGTTACAGGTATAGAACAGTATAGAACAGATTAAAAATGTTGTAATTATCAAATTTTTATTTTTGATTTAAAATTATAAAACTTTGTTAATTCTCGAAAAACTCTTGTTGAAAATTCATTCAATATTAAGTAGATTTTATTGATGTACACTTTATATTGTTCGTTTATTGTTGTCCGATCCCCTATTACAGTTATATTTATGCTAAATCAGCGGATCCGCGGTGTTCCGGATGAATATCTATAGGTATCGAATCTTGCTTTTATACAAACTTTGTCTACCGATAATGAATACGACAATATAGTGATTGTACAGTCCAATAAAGTCATTCTACAGTTATGGGCATACATTTTGGTGATCCATTTTTTTATGAGATAAGCTGGTAAACAAGTAGACGGATTTTCTGATGGTAAGCAACCGGTGTCGCTGGAACACCAGAGGAGTGCGTTAGCGGCCTATTGAGAATTGGGAATTTGAGGATTGTTGGGTATTGGGGAAGGGGGGGGGGAGTGGAATCGGGCCTCCATTGCCCTCAGTCACACGACTGCACACAACGCTGTGGTTGTGTTAGTATGGGTTTCTGCTCGGCCATGGCATCACGACTCATTTCATTCATGCCGAAGCAAGAATGAAACATACGCTGCTTAATTTTGTGTAGATAAAGAGGCAAAGGCAACAAATAAGGTTTCATATTTATAAGTTGAGTTTATTATTAGCAAGTGCGACTGCCGAGCAAGGGTCTCGGGTTCGATTCCCGGGTTGGGCAAAGTATTACTGGGTTTTTAAAAATCTCAGTGGTAGCACGGAGTCTGGAAATGTGCTTGATATAATAATATGGCAATAGGCTCACCCCCTATTACATGAGACTCATAACACAAATAGTGAAAAGTGGGTGTTACATTGTACAGTGGCATTAAGTGCCGTAATGTGTACCCCTTCGGGGCTAAGTAGTGGTGTCGTGATGTGATGTCGATGTCCCAGGTGACGGTCCCGACGCCGGACTACGGCGGGCGGCGCGAGATCCTGGAGCTGTACCTCGCGCGGGTGCGCGCGCACCAGGACGTCGACCCCGACGTACTCGCGCGGGGCACCACCGGCTTCACCGGCGCGGACCTCGAGAACATGGTCAACCAGGCCGCGCTCAAGTACGTTATATATACTCACACATACGAGGCACTGCTTCACCGGCGCGGACCTCGAGAACATGGTCAACCAGGCCGCGCTCAAGTACGTTTATATTATACTAGCGGACCCAACGGACGTTGTCCTGCATATCCACTTGAATGTACAAAAAAAACTTCATTCAAATTAGTTCAGCTGTTTAGAATAAATAACCTAAACATCGACTGCAGCGCCATCTGCCGGGCTGATTTGTGAACCTAAACCATTTCCAGATCCCCTTGAATACACACAAAAAAAATCATTAAAATCGGTCCAGTCGTTTGAGAGAAGTTCACACATATACACTCACAGAAGAATTATATATATAAAGATACTCACAGATAGGATTAACTACAAGTAACCGTTTACATACGTAAATATACTGAACCGCGACCTTGTGCGCTGCTCATGAGGAAGAGCCCCTCTGTAACTCGAAACTAGTAGATCTTTTCTTCGTGCGGTCCATGGCCCTCTACGGCGCCCCTGTTTGGGCGCCGAACCTGCTGCAGCGGCCCGCTCGGGCGCTGCTTATGGCACAGAGGGTCATGGCGGTCCGAATGATCCGCGGATACCGCACGATCTCTGGGGAGTCGGCGAACCTCCTTGCCGGATTACCGCCGTGGGATCTGGAGGCAAAGGTGCTCGCGCGCGTGTATCGCATGCGCGCGGAGGCACGTCGCCGGGGTGAAACTCCGCTGCCGCGCCAGATAAGTGCGTGGCGGGATGAGCTCCGGCGCGATCTCATGGCGGAATGGCAGCAACGACTGTCGCAACCGAGGGCTGGGCTCGCTGCCATTGCAGCGGTAAGTCCCCTCTTTGAGGAGTGGCTTGAGAGACGCTACGGCGTCCTCACCTACCGCCTGACGCAGGTCCTCACCGGACATGGAAGTTTCGGGAGGTACCTGTGTCTGATGGGGCGGGAGGAAACGCCCGGGTGTCATCACTGCGAGGACCACCCTGAGGACACGGTGGAACACACTGTTGCGGAATGCCCTGCGTGGGCTGAGCACCGCCGTGCCCTCAGGGAAGTGATCGGCGATGGAGACCTCTCGCGTCGGGCCTAGTGCAGGCCATGATGCGGAGCGAGGGGGACTGGGATGCCGTCTCCTCCTTTTGCGAAGCAGTCATGCTGGCTAAGGAGGAGGCGGGACGCGTGAGGCAGCGAAGCGCTGCCTCCTCGCAACCCAGCCATCGCGAAGGACACACCGGGCGTCGGGGATCGCGGGACGATCTCCGGCCACCGTAAGCGCGGGCCTGCGGACGGCGAGCATGGGTGGCTCCCCGTCCGACCAGAAACAGACCCGAGCGTACGGCGCGTCGCGTTCCGCGCGCGCCTCAAAGAGCCATCAGACCACCACAGATGGGGCCCAATAGGGCCGATGCCGATTCGGAGTCGCGGAGAACCTAACGGGTAACCGGGGCTCCGGCTCGACGTGCAGGAGAAGGAACGGGGTGGTTTTTAGTCAGTAAGAGTCTGACACTCCCTTCCGCCTCACCCAGGCGGGAGCAGTCATTCGATGATTTTCCCCCCTTAAAAAAAAAAAAAAAAAAATAAAAAAAAAAAAAAAAAAAAAAAAGTAGATCTTTTCTCAGTATATTCACGTGAGTAATTCGGAATTTTTAGTCAATTCAGTACATTTATTAGCATATTTGGTATTGGTCTACTAAGAGGAATCAGTGCCTCCTTCAAGAGCAGATGGTGGCCACCATATAAATTTAAGTAAAGAAATCAAATTTTATTTTGATCTATACTAACTATTGTTATTTTATTAACATAAAGCAGAGGTTTATTGGTACAGGAATTTTGGTGTAAGAAATGTGACTTTTGGATAAAAACAAAGAATGTCGACGTAAAGAATGCTAACTTTGGCTAAAATGTTAACGCTTTGGTATAAACAATATAAAATTAAGCTTTAAATAAACATTCAATCGTGAATATACACTTTTTAACATAACAAATGAACATTATCGCATATATATTTAAATATTGTCATAAGAACTATTTTGTGATGTATTTTTTTAAACTGTTGCCCCACACTATGACTGTCTCCTGTGTCGTGGGTGCGTTTACAAACATACAAGTTCACATACACATGACACCCAGACACGGAACAACAATCTGTGGATCACACAAAAAAATATAACATTTTTGGCATAAGAAATAGAAATGATGCCATAAAAATAGAAAGGTGACTTTGATTTTGATTTTATTTTGTCTCCAGGGCAGCGATAGACGGTGCAAAGACAGTGTCAATGAAATACCTTGAGGACGCCCGGGACAAGGTGCTGATGGGCCCGGAGAGAAGATCCAGACTGCCTGATGAGGAAGCTAACACCATCACTGCCTACCACGAGGGTGGACATGCTATTGTCGCGTATTTCACTAAGGTAGGCAAAGATTTTGTTGATTTATTGGCCCCGGTTGGGCTCGAAAATAGTTGGGTGTACCTGCAGTCGGTTTAGATATTGTTTCTGAATGGTCTGTGGGCCCCAGTCGGGTTTGAAAGTAGACGGATATTGTCCGTAATATGAGGAGTATGATGTTACTTAATTAATTATGCATGTTGTTAGATTGTAATTTAATGTCATGACTTTATTTATATCTCATAAATAAACTAAAACTATTGGTAGATTATTTAAAATGCTTTCGACGATATATTGATTAACGATTTACATAAATGACGTTTTAGCCCCCACTCTTAAACTTTGATTCGTTTTATCTAAGTATTGTTTTCTTATACGACAAAATAAAAAATATATCTAATAGTTTAGTCATTACCAACTGACGGACTAATTAGATTTTTAATTTTCATACTCTACCATCATCCCTATTACATTATTTTTCTTTGCATTGCTATTGCATCATTCTGCGAGACTTTTCGTTTCCGTAAGAAAATTAAAAAGTACTAATGTCTAATGTTTTAAAATAATCTACCAGACCGACAATTCCATAAAAATTAGTCGTCTACTTTATTAAACTCAGATTACTGTATGTTTGTCCGTAGGACTCTCACCCGCTGCACAAGGTGACCATCATCCCGCGCGGCCCGTCCCTCGGACACACGGCCTACATACCCGCCAAGGAGAGGTACGCAGGACAATACTTATATATTTTTTTTTATTATTATTATTAAAAACGTTGCCCCACACTAGGATTTCCTCCTGTGTCGTGTGTGCGTTTACAAACATACAGTTCACATACACATGACACCCAGACCCGGAACAACAATTTGTGGATCACACAAAGTGTTGTTCCGTGCGGGAATCGAACCCGCGACACGTTCCACGGCAGCCGGTTGACCAGCCACCGCACCAACAGTGCAGTCAAGTATTCCAAATTACATGTGTAAGCACTTACTAGTCTACTGGGCAAGGGGTCTCGGGTTCGAATCCCGGGTAGAGCAAAGTAAAACTGGTTTTTTTTTTAATTTCTCAGTAGTAGCACGCTGTCTGGAAATGTGTCCGGTATATGGTAATAGGCTCACCCCCTATTACATGGGCATACCCTGTTTCATTGTACAGTGGCATAGTGTGCACCTCTGCCTACCCCTTCGGGGACAAAAGGCGTGATATTATGTTATTTTATTTGTGATTCACAAGTTATTTTTAAGAAGCTAATTGAAATACATTGTCATATTTTTGTCCTCCTCTAGATACCACGTAACCAAACAGCAGCTCCTAGCGATGATGGACACCATGATGGGGGGCCGCGCCGCCGAGGAACTTGTCTTCGGACCTGAGAAGATCACCTCCGGTTAGTACAAGCACTGGAAGTTGAAGGTTTCTGATGATGTAGGGCATATTATCCATTTTTTTTTAAACTTTTCCCCACACTAGGATTTTCTTATGTGCCGTGGGTGCGTTTACAAACATACAATATCACATACACATAACACCCAGACCTGGAACAACAATCTGGGGATCACACAAAGAGTTGTTCCGTGCGGGAATCGAACCCGCGACACGTTGCGCGGCAGCCAGTTGCCCAGCCACCGCACCAACAGTGCAGTCAAAACTTTGGCCTCAATTTGATCAGTGCTTTAGTCACCCCAAAGGCTGCCTCTTAGGCTTTAGACTGACGGACGAATAGACTTTCGTCTGTTTTTTTTTTTAAGGGGGTAAAATCATCGAATGACTGCTCCCGCCTGGGTGAGGCGGGAGGAAGTGTCAGACTCTTACTGACTAAAAACCACCCCGTTCCTTCTCCTGTACGTAGAGCCGGAGCCCCGGTTACCCGTTAAGTTCTCCGCGACTCCGTATCTGTTTAGAGCCTTAGATATCGTTTAAAGTTTTGCACTAAAACAGCATGCTACACTTACATATGACGCTAACCTCACTAACACTAAGAGACGGAAAGATATTGTCTGTACTGCTAGCTATGAATCAAAGTACGTATTTACACATAGATTTTTTGCATTTTTAGGGCCATATCTGTACAATAAAATTATAAAGGAACCTTAGTTTACGATCTAAATTACACCAGAGCAAAACAGCGCATTTCTCAGTATCTGCTATCATTAAGTTATGATAAAAGCGAGGATTTGTTAATTGTCATTAAATAAATAATACATAAGTAGGTATAAATAGATAATAATTATTTTGATAAATGCAAGTATAAAGTTAATGTTTCCTAACCTATGTATGTATAATTGTATTCATGTGTTGGTTTTGCAATATTGACTGTAAAAAATAATATTGTTAAGGCTTAGTTATATTATCCTAATGTATAATGCACGCGACCACAAAGCCTGTGGTACAGATTTAATTCTATACAGGCATTGTATTGTAACCTACCTAGAATAGTTAAATAATAAACTTAGATTAAGTATATGTGAACAAAATGGAAATAAATATATTTGTTTGTTTGTTTGTTTAAAGTGATAACGCCGCTTGACCTTTCTTCATTTTTGTGAAATGAATGTAAAACTACTTGTTTTGGCAAGCAGGTGAGTGTGGGTGAGTCATGGCTCGGCACTGCTGGGCCGACGCGACCGGAGTGATACCGCGGCCGAGTAGGAAACCACAGAATCCTCAACAATTCTCAAATTCTTAATCCCCAAACGTTTTGTGCATTACCGGCCTTTTAACCTGTCGAGCGTCTGCGTTCCTTATGATCCAACGGGTGCACACGTGACATTTGGAGAAAGAAAGAAAATGCATTTATTTGTCCATTAGCATACGAAAACAAAGATCATTACAATAGAAATAAAACAAATACAGTCAAAATAAAAACAAAACATTAATAATAGATTTTATAAAAGAGAAAGCAGCATGGAGCATTTTTTCTTATGATCCACCGGGTGCTCATAAGGACGCTCGAGGGGTTAAGGATTAGGATTTTAAGAAATGTTGGGAATTCAGGGATAGGGGATGGGGGGGGATTGAGGGGGACCCACTGCCGTCACTCCCACGAGTGGCCAGGCCGCTGTCAGGCCGGTGGAGCCGGGCAGCAGTGGCGATGCATAGCTCTCACACACTTGCATTAATGCAGATATGTTTATTGCGACGCGCTTTGAAACAGACTGTTGGTGTTATGGCACACCCACGGTAAGAATGAGAGTGGTAAATAATGTTTAATAATAAAATATTATTGTTTTGTGACCAGGAGCGTCATCAGACCTGAAGCAAGCCACGGCGATAGCGTGCCACATGGTCCGCGAGTGGGGCATGAGTGAGAAGGTCGGCCTGCGCGCCCTGGAGCCGGCCCGCCCCGCGCTGCACAGCTCCGAGCAACTCGGGCCTTACACCAACGAACTGGTAACTCCATCTGGTCACTAACGAGTTACACATACCACATAACATCACGCCTTTTATCCCCGACGGGCTAGGCACATTATGCCACTAGTTATGTTTCTGCCACCGACGGAGGGTGCAAATGGAAACTAAGATCATTTTACTAAATTTATTATAATGAAAATTACATGTTAATACCTAAAATCTAACTAACCTAAGTGCGAATGCGTTCGAAGTTAGAACAACACTGCTTTCTTCTCTTAAAATTATTTCGAAAGAAGGTTTTCAATAAAATCTATTGAGGTTAAGTTTAGTGGGGTGATTGATGATGCAGCGATTCGCAGCTGGGCACGAGGCGGTGACATGAGGAGACGACTCAGCAGTTTAGGTGTTGCAATACTTCGTTGCATCAAAGTAGGTGTAATGTCCTGATTCAGCAGATATGGTACTCGTGGCACGACATTGATCACGGTGTAGGTACATGTGTCGGCACCGATACGTAACACACTGTACAATGTAACACCCACTTTTCACTATTTATGTTATAAGTCCCATGTAATAGGGGGTGAGCCTATTGCTATATACCGGACACAATTCCAGACTACGAACACACATTTCCGAACTCAAACTCGAAACTCAAAAGCATTTATTTCAATTAAACCATAATTTGATACTTTTGAAACGTCAACAAATACAAAATATTTCCGTTATAAACATTTTTTTAATGTGATCTGTCGCCAGTGGGATATTAAGCAGTTGGTTTGTCTATAAATAAGTGTTCAGGATAGCGACCTATGTCGCATCCTTTTTAATATTTGTGTGTGTCTACAGCAGCACATCTTGGGGAATATAAAATAAATAATAGTCTGTCAGTTTGTCCGTCAGTGAACCCTACGATCAACAGAATCCGAGCAGCGAATGAAACTAATATTGAATAATTCGTACTTAACAGGTGGACGGCGAGATCAAGAAGATACTGTCAGACAGTTACGAGCGCGCCAAGGCGATACTGCGCACTCACGCCAAGGAACACAAGGCATTAGCAGAGGCATTGTTGAAGTAAGTTACATGTATTCACCATCGTCGCCCGGGACTGTACAAAGCTGGAACTATGAGCCTCCTCAGTATAAGATGGGTTTGTCAAAATATTCACGCTTAGTAAGCACATTGGAGATCGCAGTGTAAAAGGTTCAGGTTTATCAGAGAGCTCTGCTGCACGGTCTCTGTCAAATGTGTAGTTCCTTAGTCGGGTGTATACCCGCGGAAAGAGTAGCGCTGGTGATAAATGCATCTTATACTGCCGTCACTACACAGTATGTAAATGAAAGACTTAATCCAGTTCTAAATACATTATATTCCACAACTTTTGAAGTCTTAATAATAATATTAAAGGGTTATGTCCAACTCAAACGTCACTCAATTTTTAATCGCGTGTAAGTGTAGCTCTGGCAATACAAATACTTTGTAAAATGACTCTTATGGCATGATATTTAAATACATTTAAAATCACACTCCACCCATACATCAACGCCTATAGATACTAAAAATAATATTATTCTTGTCTACAGATACGAAACTCTAGACGCAGATGACATAAAAGCTATAATGAACGGCGAAAAAATCAAAGTGGAGCGCCACGGTCGGCCGAGCAAGGAACCTGCACCCAGCTCGGCGCCCGCAGCGCCCTCTGGCGCCGGACTACTGGGCACCCCACACCCGGCGCCCGCCTAGCGCCCTAAACTCCCCAATCGTGTAAATTGAAAATTTTGCAGGCGAACTGTAAACATTTTAAATAAAAATAAGTAAAACATGCAATGATTAGTCGGCGTTTGATTGTAGCTAGTTTCGTAAGGAAGATGGCGGTTTATATGTGATATGACACCGCATTACGGTTTTTTCTATACGGTTAACCGCGAAACGGCCCAACGTGTACGCACTACGGTTATAACCGTAATATTTTCAGCCTCAACTTGTACCACTTAGTTCTTTATATTACAATATTTGTAGCACTTATTTTTATTCTAAACTTTCAAGTTTTCTAAATGCGGTTTAACCATAGTGCGGTTTGATTCTTAAAAGTTGATTGACGGCCAAATTTTGACAAAAAAAAATGACGTCACAAAAATATCCTTTAAAAATAACTAGTCTCGAATTGTGATTGGCTATCGAGTAAAGCAAAGATAGTGCTGCCATCTTTCGCTAGCTGTTTGAAAACTTCTTGGGGAAAGTACTCAAATATTATAAGTTTATAAGTTGTATCTTGCTACTGGGTCCCTTCTGAAGGAGAAGGGATAATGGAAGCTTAAAGACTATTTATAAAAATGTGTTATATTTGTAAAACGATTATAACGTAGGTTCTATAACTAAAAATTTATTACTAGTTCTGCTCAGCTCCTATTGATCGCAGCGTGATGTTTTATGGCCTGGAGCCTTCCTTGACGAATGGACTATCCAACACAATAAGAATTATTCAATTCGATCCAGTAGTTCTTGAGATATGTGCGGTCAAACTACCTACCTTTATAATATGACTAAAGTAAATATTAAAGAAAAATGGACTGTATTGTAGTGAAACTGGGTTTATAATCGTTTTATAAATATCGCAATCGACATATAAAACTATTAAGTGATTAATTAGTTTTCAAAATAAAATTTTATCCATGTACAGACGTACGATTTCATTATTCTCAATCCCTTTAACATATTTATACATGATTTCAAACTAAATGAAGTTGTACGGGTTACTCGAGTAACTGTTTAGTGATTATAGGCCCTGGCGTAGCTCGAAATTAATCGAGTAACCTTGTCAAATAATTACATGGGTATACCGTACAATATATAAGTAACTAAATATGTCTCGCATAGTTATAATACAAAAACAAACTAGACTACTAAAGGATGCAAGCAAGAGTGAGGAGGTCCTGGTTCGATTACTGGGTCAGCTGTGCTCTTAGTATGGTATAGAAAATACATTAAAAAAAATTGAATCTACGATAAATTTATTTATTTACTTACTGCCTAGTCTACCCACATAGCCTTCTGAAAATATTATATGTATTTGTAAAAAAAAGGAAAAAATGTTAATAAAAATATAATATTATAAACATCTGAGTTTGTTTTGTCATTTCGATAATCCTGCCCTCGGTAAGGGCTCGCTTAGGCTCGGCGCCCGCTATCGGTGGGCATCGGTGCTCGGTACAGCTCAAACTGTTTACGCCAGCTTCAGGTGGCTACGGCCGCCTGAGAGCTGCGTCGGCCGACTTCGGGCTGTCTCGGCAGCCGTAAGCATGGTTAAAGGACGCCGACTTTTCACTATTTATGTTATGAGTCCCATGTAATAGGGGGTGAGCCTATTGCCATATACCGGGCACAATTCCAGACTCCGTGCTACTACTGAGAATTTAAAAAAACCCAGTTATACTTTGCCCGAACCGGGAGTCGGTCAGTAATAAAACCCAGTAATAAGCCGGTCACCCAACCACTGGGTCAAATAGTCAAAATATGACTGCTCGAGTCATACATATACATAACACCACAGCCTCCATCCCCGAAGAAACAGGCAGAGGCGCACACTACGGCACATGCCAGTGTACAATGTAACACCCACTTTTCACTATTTATGTTATAAGTCCCATGTAATAGAGGGTGAGCCTATTGCCATATACCGGGCACAATTCTAGTCTCCGTGGCACTACTGAGTATTTGGAAAAACCCCGTATTCGAACCCAGCCAGGCCAGTCGCATTGAGCAAACGAGGCAGTCATATGAGTCAGTAGTATGATGAATAATGAGAACTAAGCACCAATCCACCACTATATATACACGCACAACTGTGTTCACATACCTACGACGATTCGACTGTTCTACGATGTTTCTGTTGTCCGAACTATTCTGGGGCTACCATCTATTTACTACGGCGTCCTTAGGTGTGCTTACGACTGCCGACGCAGCTCCCAAGCGTTCAAAGCCACCCGCGTTGTACCGAGCCGCAGCATTACTTGGCGCCTGGTCAAGCCATAGGTATTTTATCTTCAAAATTCTATATTTTATAAGCTACCGAATCCTTCATTTGTGAGTGCGAATCGCACTTACCCATTTTTCTATAATTATCATTCCTTGACATTGTATTGTGGTGCTCCGACAAAACAGGAGAATTGTCCTTACTCTAAATATTCAATCAGCTGCCTAAAATACTAACTTTTCGACTACTTTTGTTCGAATAAAAATGACGAAACAACCGAATGAGATACTGAAATCTTCGAAAAATAATCTTGACTGTATAGGTAATATTATTCTACCAGCATAAATTACGTCCTACTAAAAATTATGCTTTGTCTAACAACCTAAACCCTGTGTTGTCGGTAACTTTGTCAGAGGTTCAGTATGCTATTCGGATTTGACTGCCTCGTTGGCAGTGTGGTCGCAATTGCGACTGCGGTAAGGGGTCTCGGATTCAATACCCGGGTTGGGCAAATTACTACTGGGGTTTAAAAAAATATTCTCAGAAGTAGAACGGAGCCTGGATTTATGCCCGCTATATGGCAATAGGCTCACCCCCTATTACATGGGACTCATAACATAAATAGTGGAAAGTGGGTGTTACTTTGTACAGTGGCATTAAGTGCCGTAATGTGCGCCTCTGTCTGCCCCTTCGGAGATGGAAGGCGTGATGTTATATCTATGTACGACTGCTCATTTGGCGCAGTGGTTGGGTGACCGGCTGTTGTGCAACGTGTCGCGGGTTTGATTCCCGCGCCGACCAAAAAATGGCATTTTCTGAGTGAAATGCCCATTGTTAGCCCGGAATCAAGAAATTCGGCGGTGTTTCAACCCCGTGCCTCGGAAAGCATGTAAAGTTGTTAGTCCTGCGCCGGATCTCTCTCCAGTCGCGTCGGTCTGCTGTCCTATCGAGTTCAAAGAGTGAGGGAATAAACAGTGCAACTGTGTTTGCACACATACTTGTGCACTGTATTTCCTGAAGGGTATAACCGGGGAGTCTTCAAGGCCCGAGTGAATAGGTTGCTTATGGGCAGACGAGCTCCATCGTAGGCCGCATCATCGCATACCAACAGGCGAGATAGTGGTCAAACGTCGGCCCATCAGTTATATTAAAAAAAGCTATAGAGGTAATATCTCCTGTGCAGTGAGCTAGTCTAGATAGGCATACTGGATACGATGAACGAAAATTTATTTATTTATTATTTACTAGCGCCCGTCCCGGCTTCGCACGGGTGCAATATGCGTGAATTATACATATAAACCTTCCTTAAAAACCACTCTATCTATAAAAAAAAATCGCATCAAAATCCGTCGCGTAGTTTTAATGATCTAAGCATACATAGGGACAGACAGACGACGGATAGCGACTTTGTTTTATGTAGTTTTCTATGTAGTGATTCTATACAAAAATTTAGTTTTGATATTCGAAGATCCATTTTTATAGTCAGCCAGACATCGCTGGAGATTAATTTGTTTTTAGGCTTTCCTAAAAACAAATTAATCTCCAGCGATGTCTAATTTTTATTTTAAGGTAGACGACTAATTTTTATTTTAATGTCCGTCTGGTAGATTATTTAAAAACATTAGACACGTATTTTTTATTTTCTTACGGAAACGAATAGTTTCGAAGATATATTGATTTGAAATGTCGCGTGACGTCACTTCTCAGTACATTTTATACTGAGAAATGACGTTTTAGCCCCCACTCCTAAACTTTGATTCGTTTTATCTAAGTATTGTTTTATTATACGACAAAATAAAAAAATACTTGTCCTATATTTTTTAATTACCTAACTTACGGACTAATTAGATTTTTAATTTTCATACCCTGTCATCATCCCCATTTACTTAAAAAAGTCTTATTTTATGTGATTTTTATCTTATTTTCTGCTTCATTGGCTGAGTGGTCGCAAGTGCAACTGCCGGGCAAGAGGTCTCGGGTTCGATTTCCGGGTCGGGCAAAGTATTACTGGGTTTGTAAAAACCTCAGTAGTAGCACGGAGTCTGGAAATGTGCCCGGTATATGGCAATAGACTCACCCCCTGTTACATAGGACTCATAACATAAATAGTAAAAAGTGAGTGTTACATTGTACAGTGGCATTAACCCGTCGAGCGTCCGCGTTCCTTATGATCCAACGGGTGTACACGTGACAATTGGAGAAAGAAAGAAAATGCATTTATTTGGCCATTGGCACACGAAAACAAGGATCATTACAATAGAAATAAAACAAATACAGTCAAAATAAAAACAAAACATTAATAATAGATTTTATAAAAGAGAAAGCAGCATGGAGCATTTTTTCTTATGATCCACTGGGTGCTCATAAGGACGCTCGAGGGGTTAGGTGCAAGGGGGGAAAATCATCGAATGACTGCAACCGCCTGGGTGAGGCGGAAGGGAGCGTCAGACTCTTACTGACTAAAAACCACCTCGTTCCTTCTCCTGCACGTCGAGCCGGAGCCCCGGTAACCCGTTAGGTTCTCCGCGACTCCGAATCGGCATCGGCCCTATTGGGCCCCATCTGTGGTGGTCTGATGGCTCTTTGAGGCGCGCGCGGAACGCTACGCATGCACCTATGCCTACCTCTTTGGGAATAAAAGGCGTGATGTTATGTTATGTTTCATCTCATTTTGCTAGTATCATTAATATGTATATTTGTTACTGAATCGCGTCAAAACTGCTGAAGGGAACAGGATGGAATTTGGAACAGGGTAGATTGTGGTCTGGTAAGTATAACAGGCTACTTTTTATATTTCCGGAGGCAGAAGCTAAAACAATCTGGCATAAATTGCTCAACTGAAGACACAAGTGTGTGAGAGCCATGCTTCGGCACGAATGGGCCGGCTCGACCGGAGTGATACCACGGCCGAGCAGAAAACCGACGTGAAGCAACGCTTGCGTTGTGTTTCGTCGTGTGAGTGAGGCTACCGGAGGCCCAATTACCCTCCCCTTCCCCAATCTCCCCAATTCCTGAATCCCTAACGATCCTCAAACTCCTAATCCCGAAAAGGCCGGTAACGCACTTGTAACGCCTCTGGTGTTCCAGGTGTCCATGGGCGACACCGATTGCTTACTATCAGGTGATCCGTCTGCTCGTTTACGGGCTTTTGCCATAAAAAAAAACTGTCAAACAGTGTAAGCTGAGCGCCGCAGCGCCGCGGCTCGAGCGCACTCAGGTCACGGCATTTAACCTGAGCTCTGGTCTTTTTGCGCTGTCTTCATTGTTTTTACTTTTTTTGTGCTAATAAACCATTTTTCTTTATTTATTTCTTCTTCAGAGAGGTATGTATACCAATAAAACACGTTTCATAAACAAAGATCAGTATGTTTTGTTTATTATAGCGTGACAAGTTGTCGTCGTTTGGCAGCGAGGTCGGCGGCAGTGAGCATGCGCGTGCGCACGTTCTGCATCGCGCCCGTGTACACGTGGCGCCCGTAGATACTGGCGCGGGACGACGACGGACTGGAAGCATAGCACTTTATGTTAAATGAGATACACATAGGCTAGGTACTTACGACATGAGTACCATGTAATCTATACAGATAAATAAAATTACAGTGTTTGTTTGTAATATTAAAATAACCGCTTTTTACTACATGCATATGAATACACATACCAAAATAACATTTTTTAAAATTTTTGTCTGTTTGTTGGCCTAATCTCAGGAATGGCTCAACCGATTTTGCAAGACTTTTATTGGCAGGTAGCTGATGTACTAAGGAGTAATAGACTGCTTTTATTTTGGAAAATTGAAACAAAAAAAATATGTTCTAAAACTCATATACTATGCGGACGAAGTTTTTATATATTTATTTAATATTCTTCTATTAATAAATAAATATTACACATACCCAGCCCAAACAGTAGGTGTGGCGAGCTCGCTATCCTCGGCGAGTTTGACGGCGAGTCCCCCGCGAACTAACTCCTCCGCGAAACTACGCATCGCGGACAGTAGGACCGCGTGCACCGCGCTGTAAGGGGAGAATAACAATATTAATTAATTAATAAGTAATCATAATAATACATCTTTATATATATAATTCTTCTGTGAGTGTGTATGCCACTGAACTTCTCTCAAACGACTGGACCGATTTTGATGAAATTTTTTGTGTGTGGGGTGTTCAAGGGGATCTGGGATCATGGTTTAGGTTCATAAATCAGCCCGGCAGATGGCGCTGCAGTCGATGTTTAGGTTATTTATCCTAAAGAGCTGAACTAATTTGAATGAATTTTTGTTTATACATTCAAGTGGATATGCAGGACAACGTCTGTTGGGTCCGCTAGTAATATTATAAAGTTGAATAAGTGTGGGAGAGACATGCTTTAGCACGACCGGAGTTATACCACGGGCGAGCAGAAAACTGGCGTGAAATCGTGTGAGTGCGTTTACCGGAGGCCCAATTACTTATATTCTTTCTTTCTTTATCTATATATGACTGCCTCATTGGCCGAGTGGTCGCAAGTGCGACTCGGCAAGGGGTCTCGGGTTCGATTCCCGATCCGGGCAAAGTATTACTGAGTTTTAAAAAAATCTCAGTAGTAGCACGGAGTCTGGAAATGTGCCCGGTATATGGCAATAGGCTCACCCCCTATTACATGGGACTCATAACATAAATAGTGAAAAGTGGGTGTTTCTTCTGTGTGCACCTCTGCCTACCCCTTTCGGGGATAAAAAAGCGTGATGTTATGTTATGTTAATCTATATAATTAAAAATGAATCTCCGTTCGTTAGTCCCGCTAAAACTAGAGAACGGCTGTTTGAAATGTTCGTAGAAGTCGTCTCACAATCCTGTGATACGGATGTGTCGCAAGTACAACGAGCTACTCTCGAATGACATGGGCGTGCCTGATATCCACAATACTTCGCTTCACAAATTTAAGAATATTATTAAGAAATTGTTATTTGGTCGGTCCGATGATGAGGACAATATTGAACATTGAATAATGTATCTATTGTTTAATTTCATTCTTAATTCTCCTTATTATTACAAATTATCTCTAATTTTGTTCTGGATTATAGTTCATTGTAAATAATTATTAATAAATAAATACTAGTCGTTGCATGTCATGTTGTGTGCACATACTTGTGGAAGCATGGTCTGCCCTTTACAGTTTGGTATTGTTATTCTGTTGTGTATTTCGCTGTGTTTCTGTTTTGTGTACCTATTAAATAAATAAATAAAAATAAATAAATAAAGAAGTCCAGGGGAGGTTTAAAAGGGGAGAACAACATTTATAAGCGGTACGAAGGTCGCCGGGTCACCTAGTAAAGAATAAAAAACTCACCTATAAGAACATCCATTGCCAACATCCTCATTCCTCAGCTCGATCCCAATATCGGCACATTTTCGTTCCACGAACAAAAACCGAAGTCTATCGTCGTCATCCTCCACCGGCAGCACCGTCAGTCCCCCACTGTCCCCTACCACGACGCCCCCCTTACCCCGTCCCCCACAGGAAATAACATCGACCTCTTCATCATCAGAAACCACTTCGGTCACCGAATTAGAATTTCGATTCCTCGTCGAAAAATTGGAGATTTCGAAAAGCGACAGAGTATTGATATCCGAGGGGTTTGGGTACAATTCTTTGATGCTGGATTCCATTTTTCGAGTTTCCAGGTCATTCCAGGTCGACCATTCGTCTGCTTCGGATTTTATTTGCATCGCTTCTGATCTTATTGGGTAGTGTCCGTGTAGTCGGCTGTATGCTAGAATCTGTTTGGTCCGCCATATTGGCTCCACTGTTGTTATATGCTCGGACAAAATTCTGTTTATTAATTTCGCTCTGGACCACTGTAAAAGAGGGTTAAAAGGGAGTTAATATAATATTCTGTAGGCTAAGAACGTCGTAGTAGGCCGGAGGTTTAAGACTCTGGCTTCTTATGCATTCGAAACCTACCAACGGCAAGTACCAATGTGACTTTTTCCGAGTTATATGTACTTTCTAAGATTATTCAGACACCACAGACAAACGGTGAAGGATGATTGTGAGGAAACCTAAGCTTATAATGTCTAATTATAAGTTTCAAATCGCCAACCCGCATTGAGCAAGCGTGGTGATTAATGCTCAAACCTTCTCCGTGTGAGAAGAGGCTTTTGGTCAGCAGTGGGCACTTATATATAGGCTGTTGATGTGATGTGAGAGTAAGAAGGATAAAATACTAGTTTGATATATTTTCGGCCCAAGTTATTAACTGACCTTAAAATCTAAATATTTAGTTTAAGCCGTCAAACACTGCGAGGACACCGATGACCGCAACCTATTGTTCTTTAATTGTGTCTATAAATACGGTACTCAACGAGTTAAGGCCGAGTTTTGACTTGACAATAGTCCTGTGGCGGCTTAGTAACCGCAAATTGCTGAGTTGCATTATTGTCGAAACCTGGGAGCGCGGGCGCTCCGCTCGCCAGTCGCGTACGTCACACCGCCCTGCCTCGACATCTACATAGTACGTAGTTAGTAATAACGAAGTATTGTGGAACCGAAATTAAAGACATTTATTTCATCAAAGTACATTTTTCTTATTCACCAAATAGTACACAGGACACGCACAACACTGGTGACCCATCGACGTTTGCAAATTACGTAATTTCGTGTGACAATAGAGTAGGCGACTCACTAGGTGCTCGAGGCAGAGGCATATGAACCGCGTGGTGCAAAGTGCAGAAGTGAGGTTATAAAGCAACGCGCACATATCCGCTCATCAAAATGAACCCGCAACTGGTACCAGGTACTCCAGGCGCTACTCCAGCAACGGCAGCGGACATAGCGATGGTTACGGTGCAAATGAGGGTTCCAGAATTTTGGAGAGAACTACCGAGGTCGTGGTTCTGTCAATTCGAGGCGATTATGGCACCACAGAAACAAGGCGACACGCAGAAGTACGACATGGTGTTGGCAAAATTACCCACAGACGTTTTGCAGCAGGTAACCGATATTATCGAAGCACCACCGGAATCACGCAAGTACGAGATCATAAAAGAGCGCTTACTGTTGGTTTATGAAGAGAGTGCAGACAAACAATTTCAGAAATTGATGCACGAAATGGACCTGGGCACACAAAAACCGTCGCAGTTACTCAGGAAGATGACAACGCTAGCAAAAAAATGCAATCTGACAGAAGAACCACTCAAGAGGCTATGGTTAGACAAGCTCACACCTAATGTGCGCGCACTACTGGCAATGAGTGAGGATACCAAGTTGGAGGAGATGGCCAAGAAGGCGGATAAAATATTAGAAACCCTTGGAAGCGGCGAGGTTGCATCTATAACGCCGAGTACGTCGACAGCAGGACCCAGCGAAAACGACAGCGTAGCTAATCACTTAAAAGAATTAGCAATGGAAATGAAGGAATTGCGTGGAGAAATAAATGAGATCAGGAACAGAAACAGAGGCAGCGCAAGAGACACAGACGGAGGTGGGCGATGGCAACAACGTCCCAGATCCAAAAGCCGGACGCGGCGAACACCAGATTCTCCCGACTGGCTATGCAGACACCATTACCGCTACAGGAGCAATGCGCGGACGTGTGAAGCACCGTGCAGCTGGGCCAAGAAGCAGCGGAAGCAGGAAAACTAGACGCGGTGCAGTCAGCATCGGTGGAAGATTGTGCCGCGGGGAACCACCGACTTTGTGTAAAAGACTACAAAACGGGAATTGTGTACCTTGTCGACACGGGTGCTAACGTGTCAGTGATACCTGTGAGTAAAGTGAGATCAAAACAAAAACAAGAGTGCACGTATAAGCTTTTCGCAGCAAATAATACAGAAATCAGAACCTACGGTGTAGTGACTCTAGAATTAAATTTAGGATTACGTAGAAGTTATAAGTGGTCATTTATAGTTTCCGATGTAAAGCAACCAATCATAGGGGCAGATTTTTTAAAGGCACACCAATTAGTTGTAGATTTACACAACAAAAGGTTGATTGACGGTCTCACAAACTTGAGTAGAGAAGCAGCTGTAGTAAAATGTTCCGAAATGTCCATATCCAGCATTCAGCGGGACAACCCGTATAAAGATTTGCTCGAAGAATTTTCAGAAATAACCAAACCCGTTTCGTACAAAGAACCTTCTAGTCATAATACTTACCATCATATCGAGACTACAGGTCCCCCGTTTTTACCCGTGCTAGGCTGTTGCCACCCCATAGGTATAAAATGGTACAGGAGGAATTCAGGGTAATGCAGGATTTAGGTATATGTAGACCATCGAAGAGCCCGTGGGCGAGTGCGCTGCACGTCGTGCCTAAGAAGGATGGCCAGATCAGACCCTGTGGCGACTATCGTGCACTCAACGCGATCACGAAGCCGGACAGGTACCCGATCCCAAGACTACAGGACTTCACCTATGGACTAGCAGGTAAGAAAATTTTTGCACGCTTAGACATTAATAGAGCCTATCATAACATTTGTGTAGCACCACAGGACGTAGAGAAAACAGCTATCGTTACCCCATTTGGACTGTTCGAATTTCCTAGGATGTCATTCGGTTTACGTAACGCAGCGCAAACATTTCAAAGGTTTATGAACAATACAGTCTTACAAGGTATAGAGTATTTAAACGGAGAACGAAAAGGGGACTGCTCGTACCTATTTTGTTACATTGATGACGTAATAATTGCAAGTACCGACGCTAAATTACTCCGTAAACATTTAAAACTCATTTTTAGCAGATTCGAACAGTTTGGAATAACCATCAATCTGTCAAAATGCTGTTTTGGTAAGCCTGAGATAGAATTTTTAGGGTATAGCGTTAGCCAGGAAGGACTTAAACCTTTGAAAGAGAAGGTTGAAGCCATACAGAATTACCCCCGACCAGAAACCGTGGAACAGTTGCGACGATTTCTGGGAATGGTTAATTTTTATAGATTACATATCAAGCAAGCGGCGGAGCACCAGGCCGAGCTAAATAAGTTTTTGCATGGGGCCAAGAAAAAGGATAAGTCAAAAATAACATGGGACGATAGGGCCACGGCGGCTTTCGAGCAGTGTAAGGCAAGCCTACAAAGCGCCATTACACTGTCATATCCAGAAGACAAAGGTAGACTGTCTCTAATGTGTGACGCATCAAATACATGCGTGGGGGCAGTGCTACAGCAAGGAGCCACCGGCAAAACAAAGCCCTTAGGTTATTTTTCTAAGAGACTATCGGAAGCCCAGCAAAAATATAGCACTTACGACCGAGAACTATTAGCGATATATTTGGCTATTGTGCATTTTAGAAACATGATCGAAGGTCAAGAGATTACTATTTTTACTAACCACAAACCACTAACATACGCTTTTTCTAAAATAGGTACCGATCGAGAGACCCCACGGCGCACAAGGCAGTTATTGTATATCAGCGAATTCACGAGCGATATACAATACATCAACGGAAACGAGAACCCGGTTGCTGACGCGCTATCACGGGTAGAGTCCGTTGTTTGCCCAACGGCTATCGACTTCGACGAAGTCGCACGGGCACAGGAAACAGACGATCAAATGGCGCGTATGTTAGCAGAACCACAAGGTAACACGGTACTAAAGCAAATTCATTCACCATTGTGTAATAAAACAATTTATTGTAACATTTCAGATAAACAGGTAAGACCATATCTCCCACACAATTTTCGTAGAATAGCATTCGAAACAATACACAACATCAGTCACCCCGGAATTAGGGCCACACGAAAGATGATAACGAAACGTTTTTGGCCGGAAATTAACAAAGATGTAACCAGATGGGCTAGGTCTTGCATTCACTGTCAAAAAGTAAAAGTACAGCGACATACAGTTTCTAAGTTAAGTAGTTTTCCATTGACAGATAGATTCGAACACATGCACGTAGATATAGTAGGCCCGTTAAGCACGTCACAGGAAGGCTACCGATATTGCGTCACTATGATTGATAGGTTTACGCGATGGCCTGAAGCGATTCCAGTTAGGGACATTACCGCAGACACAGTAGCCAAAGCCATATACGAAGGTTGGGTATGCAGGTTCGGATGCCCCCTGACAATAACGAGTGACCAGGGAAGACAGTTTGAGAGTGAAGTTTTTAAAAGCTTACTAAACATTTTAGGCATAAAAAAGACCCGTACAACGGCATACCACCCACAGGCAAATGGAATCTGCGAGAGAATGCACCGTTCCCTTAAAGTGGCAATTAAGGCTAGATTACGGGATAACAGATCATGGGTCGACGAATTACCTACAGTATTATTGGGACTTCGTGCGGCTTGTAAAAATGACGAAAACGTAAGGTCAGCGGAATTGGTATTAGGACAGACATTACGTTTACCAGGCGATTTTTTATTGCGAAACCGAAGAAACCAAAGTAGATCATTTACCTACGTTCGTAAGCAAACTTCGAAATATAATAAATAGTATGCGGCCTCAGTCAAGAGATAACAGCGATTCGCGGAAAATATTTGTCCATAAAGATTTAAATACGTGTTCTCATGTTTTTATAAGAAACGATATGGTAAAAAGCCCGTTAACCCCAGCATACAGCGGCCCTTATAAAATAATAAGTAGGGATAAGAAAACATTTTACATACAAATAGGCGATCGTCAATCAACCGTTTCCATAGACAGATTAAAACCAGCATACATTATTAACGAAGAAAAATTACCAGAAAGTAGCAGTACTAACAATAATCAGCGTGAATCAGATACAAAAGCGAGTGAACAAGAATCGCTACCGCCTATGGTTAAAACCACACGCTGGTGGTGAGTGATTAAGCAACCGGTGCGATTTTTGCTCACATGACAAATTATTGGAAGTATATGACTGATTAATAGGAATTTTTGTACATTTCACTGCGGTCATTTAGATGGTTTTTGAACAAACTATATAACGAGTTTTAAGATGGGAAATAACCAGAATAGGGAGTACGTAGCCACTGCACAGGCCCAAATAGTAGCAGGACAACAGTTAGAAAGTAAACTGAACTACTTCGGGATAGTGCTCATTATCATCGCTGCAATCATGGTCATATTGTCATGTTACGCTATCAGGAGAGGTTGCGTAGGCCATGCGAGAGACTGGTTGAGAAGAGAAGTTCCGTTGATATTGTCAGGACAACCAGTGAGCAACCAGGTACCACCCGCGACTGTTGGGTTATGTGTAGCAAAAACGGTGTTGTGAAATGTTCAAAAGTTATCTTGTAAAAACAAGTGTTACTAAAATGTCTACTTATAAGTTGTGTCCCTAGAAATGTAAGTTATATTATATGTATTTAGTCAACGGCGTTACCATAACCAATGCTGCCGACCCTCGCGGTGTTATTTAATTATTGCAGAGCGGAGGTTATGGTAACTACCCTTAACGTATATTTTTAAATAACATAATAGTATATATTTTTAATTTGTCAAGGCGGTTCGGAGCTGAGGCAATGAGGAATCCGCGAACATGTTAGAAAGTAAGGAGTACTATAATCTATTTTTAGCTGCAGGGTATAAACAATAGGCAGCATTCAACTGTTGGAATGCTGACAGGTATATAATGTTATTGTAAGCTTAGAGACGTCCGAGTACTGTATTAGTGACGTAAGCATGTGGTTTTAGTGTTAAACATACATAGGTAAATTAAAAAATTTTTATGTAATTTTTTTTTGAGAAAGGGGGGGTGTGATGTGGCGGCTTAGTAACCGCAAATTGCTGAGTTGCATTATTGTCGAAACCTGGGAGCGCGGGCGCTCCGCTCGCCAGTCGCGTACGTCACACCGCCCTGCCTCGACATCTACATAGTACGTAGTTAGTAATAACGAAGTATTGTGGAACCGAAATTAAAGACATTTATTTCATCAAAGTACATTTTTCTTATTCACCAAATAGTACACAGGACACGCACAACAGTCCTGATATTTTCGATTATGGTTGGTTATCAATTATGGCCATTAATCGATTTACAAAATACTCAGTAGTCGAACGTAATGCTGTATTTTGTGTTCAGTCCCGGATCGGGAAATTTATTATTCGTATTTTGGTAGTCTAATTTAACAGACATATTATTGCATAAATGCGTAAAATTAATCAAAAAACACAACTTACCTCAATATTCCTCCGCTTAGCAAAATCTAGTTTCCAATATTTTTCCTCAGATTCCACAACAAAGGGGAAATTCTTCACAAAATCCGAATCCCTCGCCAAATCCGTAACCAAAGGGATCTTCCTAATTAAATAATTAACGCCACACCGCACATTATTCAACCTAGCAACATTCGCGCACAGATTATCGAACAAACTCTTTTCTTTTTTAATTTCCACACTGGCAACATTATCCACCTTCCTCGGTGTTGCCAGGTAACAATGATCATTTTCTATATGCGCAAAATTGTGTTGTAGTTTCAGATTTTCAGTGTTTTTTAACATATTTTTGACTTCAGGCTTGAGTAGAGAGACGCCTTTCTTCTTTCTAAAAGATTTTAGCCCGTTCGATTTTATAGGACTTATTTTGGCTGTCTTATTATTTATAACTATTTCTTGGACCTTACTTAGGTCTAAAGCCCTGTCCATTTCTAGGTAGTAAATTTTGCCTGTGTTCGGATCTATATATTTGACTATTCGTTTTTTTGGTAACGCGGATTGGTTTAGAATCTCATTTGGTAGATCATCTACAACTTTATAATCAACCTTCCATTGTTTTTCTGTTTCATTTGGAACATTTTCTTCTTTAGCTTCTGTATCTTCTTCTATCTTCTCTTGTGTCTCTTTTTTCACTGGTTTTATTATCATTTCATCTACATCTACTTCTGAAGGTCCTTTCGAGAAGAATTCCATCCAGTTGTCTGTATGTGTGTTGTTTTCTTGTGTATTTTGTTCTGTATTCTCTATTGGTGTCGGTTCGATTACTGTTTCGGGATTGTCTGTCGGTGCTTCCTCTTTGTATTCAAATTCTAACATTTCTGGAGTACTGTATAGCCATACGTCGATTAGAGTTTCAGCGCCTGAAACAATATTATTATTATTACTACGTTTAAAATGTAGGTGTTATATTGTACAGTGGCATTTAGTGCTGTAACGTGCACTGCCTACACCTTCGTTACAAGTGCGTTACCGGCCTTTTGGGGATTAGGAGTTTGAGGATCGTTGGGGATTCAGGAACTGGGGAGATTGGGGAAGTGGAGGGTAATTGGGCCTCCGGTAACCTCACTCACACGACGAAACACAACGCAAGCGTTGCTTCACGTCGGTTTTCTGCTCGGCCGTAGTATCACTCCGGTCGAGCCGGCCCATTCGTGCCGAAGCATGGCTCTCCCATACTTAATGACTGCACTGGTTTAGACCATGGTACGGAGCGAGGAGGACTGGGATGTCTCCTTCTGCGAAGCAGTCATGCTAGCCAAGGAGGAGGCGGTGCGAGTAAGAGACACACCGGGCGTCGGGGATCGCGGGACGATCTTCGGCCACCGTAAGCGCGGGCCTGCGGACGGCGAGCATGGGTAGCTCGCCGTCCGACCAGAAACAAACCCGAGCGTACGGCGCCGAACGTTCCGCGCGCGCCCAATAGGGCTGATGCCGATACAGAGCTGCGGAGGACTTAACGGTTTGCTGGGGCTCTGGCTCGAAGTGCAGTAGTGGTTTTTAGTCAGTAAGAGTCTGACACTCCCTCTCGCCTCATCCAGGGCAGGAGAATTCATTGCATGAATTTCACCCTTCAAAAAAACCTAATATTTAATGTTCATAATATTTGTTTTATATTTTAAGCTTCAGTATGGTGACTTTCACCAATACTACCATTAGGTAGTACGCATTAGGTAGTAGCATACAAATTATTGTATGATGTGAAAAGTCCGTATAAATAGTTGCGACTCACCCAACATCTGCATCCCGGTATAGTTCCTGTCCAGCTTGATGGTGTGTTCCACGGTGGCGGGCCTGTTCCGCTCCGGGAGGGCGAAGTGTAGTTCTATTTTAGCGGGGAACTCCCCCCAGCCGCGGCGGGACACGTGGTATGGGGGTTTGCTGAAAGAGGTAGGAAAATATTATACATAAATACTGTGAAAACAGTCTCAAGTTCAAGGTCCGGGAAAAGTATTGTTGATTTTTTCACAGTCTGAAATTGTGCGTGATATATATTCACAATATGCGTACATTCAATTACATGTCAAAATATATTTTTGGGTACATACATTATAGTTCAGATTTCTTCAGAAAATTGGATTCTTTGTTCAGAAAATTGGATTGCATAATCCAATTAGATTTATTTTTTTTATTATTTCAGTTCAAGTAGCTTTCATTATAGTTCTCTGTATAATATGCATAAGTGCCCACTGCTGACCGAAAACCTCTTCTCACACGGAGAAAGATTAAGCATCAATCACCAAGCTTGCTCATTGCGGGTTAGCGATTTCAAGCTTACAATTACAAATTACGGTTAGGTTTCAAGATTTCCTTCACCGTTTGTCAGTGGTGTATGAATAATCATAGAAAGTACATATAACTCGGATAAAGTCACATTGGTACTTGCCCTTAGTAGGTTTCGAACCGTCATGCATGAGAAGCGCGTCTTAACTCGTTGAGTACCGTCATTATAGACACAATTAAAGAACAATAGGTTGCGGTCACCGGTGTCCTCGCGGTGTTTGACAGTTTAAACCTCCGGGCCACCACGACGTATATTATTAGTAAGTTGTAACTTTTATATCACTGTTGTTTTTTTTTATTTTAATTGTTGAGTATAAGGCCTCAAGTACAGTGCGAGGCCATGTTAGGTTGGATGTATGGTGGTGCCGTACTCGATGGTGACGGTGTGGTGCGGCGCGTAGGAGTGGTGCAGCCGCACGGTGACGGCCGTGAGCAGGCGCGACACGTCGGGCGCGGCGGCCGGCCCGCGCACGTACAGCAGCCACTTGTGGGTCGACCGGTCCGCCGCCGACGCCGCCGGCGCGTACTTCGACGTGTTGCCTGCAACACAGGGAAACAAACAAACTTTACTTCACGTTAAAAAACAAGGCCTTTACCCAAACACCACTTGCGCTTGTCTACAGAGAGAGTAGAAATCAAAATGTATGGGGATGACACTGACAAATGTCAAAATTTACGTCAATTCCATATAATTTGGTTTTCTACTCTACATGTAGACAAGCGCTGAGTAGCATTTGGCTACAGCTGCAGGTGACTTGTACAGTCAACGGTCGTCCACTGCCTCCGTGAATGATGTTCACACGGCAATGCGTAAGTAATTTCATATTAATGTGCATAAACACGCGTGCGTACGCATACACACACGCACGCGTACGCACACGGATACAAATATGCGTGTGCATGTGTGTATAACCGATAGTAGTCTTACGGTGGCAGAGGACTTTTGACCTTTGACCGTAAAAACAAGTCATTCTATTAGTAGGTACTGATAGATACATGTTCATGTCCCACGTCTGCCGTGGAATGGGACCAGTTCAACATGTACAAGACAGGGCCTTGCACTGGTATTCTACTGGCCCCTTAAGTGACTCGCGGACGAACAAGACACCAATTAGACATTAACAGTTTAAATGAAATTAATTAATTAAACAAACATAATAATTTAACAAAATAACATAACATAACATCACGCCTTTTATCCCCTAAGGGGTTGGCAAAGGTGCATTACAGCAATGTTACACCCATTTTTTACTATTTATGTTATGAGCCCCATGTAATAGGGGGTGAGCCTATTGCCATATATACTGCGTTTTTATAACAACTAAAAAGCCTGATGTGAAATACAACTTACCAATAACAATTCTATATCTATACTTCATTTTGTTCCTGGTCACCTCGTCCAGGGTGACCACGTTTGTGATTTTAGGGTCCAAGTGTCGAGGCACCTTCTTGGGTCGACTGGTACAGGGCTCCTCTGGTGGGACCTCTATTTCGGACTTCTTGTCAGGTCTGAGGGTCTTTGTAGTGTCCGCTGATATTGTATAGTTGCGTTTCTGTAGCATCGCCTGTGAAAAATAGAAGATTTTTAACCGATTTAAAAAAACGAAGAATGTTGTCTATCTGAACTGTTTGAATGTATTAAAACTGCCTCGTTGGCCGAGTGGTCGCAAGTGCGACAGCCGGACAAGGGGTCTCGGGTTCGATTCTTGGGTCGGGCAAAGTATTACTGGGTTTTTACAAAATTCTCAGAAGTAGAACGGTACAAAAAACCAGTAACTGGACACATAAAATAACATAAAATCACTTAATGCCACTGTACAATGTAACACTTACTTTCCACTAGTTATGTTGTGAGTCCCATGTAATAGGGGGTGAGCCATATACCGGGCAGGATTGCAGACTCTTAAAAAAATTCTCAGTAGTATTGCTACTACCTATTGAGATTTTTTTTAAAACCCACTAATACTTTGCCCGACACGGGAATCGAACTGGAGACCTGGCACTTGGGGCCACTCGGCTAACGAGGCAGCAACATGGGACATCATTTTTATAAATTACAAGTTTGAAATGCTCAAATGCTCATTCCTTCTCCGTGTGAGAAGAAGTCTTTACCCAACAGTTCCAGAATAGGATGATGACGACGAATTATTTAACAGACCCACTAATACGACCATTCAATAATCTATTTAGGTAACAAAAACAGTACAGTACAGGCCCACAGGAATAAATTCCAGTTGGAATATGTGGGGCCTATGTACTCTGTTTTTATATTATGTATTGTCCTCTGTGTTGAATGTGTGTACATAAATAAATAAATAATAATCCTTACTAATATTATAAATCGGAAAGTGAGTTTGTTTGTTTGTTTGTTCCGCTTTCACGCCGTAACTACTAAATCAAAGTGCAAAAAGTGTATAATGTAAAAAAAAGAGAAATACCTCTTTTAAAAAAAAAAAAAAAAAAAACTGTGACCAAAATTTAACAACGAAAAAAATTCCAATTGAGATTAAATGAGTCATTTCTAACCGTCCCACTCATTTAAATAAAACAATTATTGTTCAATCCAGTGCTAAATTTCACAAGCAAATAATTAGCTCATTTGGCTCAGTGGCACTAGGTGGGGTGTCATTCATCGATAATCGACGCGAACCGAGTTCAATCCCCGCAAAGGGAGATTCTTTTTGTGATTTCTTTAAGCCCAGATTTCTACATAAACTAACGTTCACCGCCCCCATACTGTCACTAAGTACTAAAAAACACAACAGAGCGCGCCTGCATCGAATAAAAATGAACTTCGAGAGCAATAATATAACTTATCGGAATAATCCTCGGAGAGCGATCTCCGTAACAGACTTATCAGACGTGGTAAATAATAGCGAAAAAACTATGTTGGATGCTACAATGATGAGTGTTCCGGACAGCTTCCTCCACGACACCATTGACGAAACAAGTGACTTGACAAGTGAAATTATCTTACTTAAACAACAGCTATTCAGCGCACATCAAGAAATTGATAATTTAAACATAGAAAACCTGCGCCTTAAAACCGATCTACAAAACATGATCACAACTTGCAATGCTTACAAAAAAATATGCTCAACGCCTGAGAAAAAACGTAAAGCATCAATTCGTAACAAAACACCACGCCAAATTAATTCTCCAAGTGACCTAAAAACCAGGCGCGGAAGTACTGATACCTGAATATAAAACCAGCAAACAAAATAAAGGGACACAGAATGATAACAGTCGTAATGAGACAGCACATCAAATTAGAGAGCCATCTGCTTCTGAACCATCAAAAATTCAGATAGCGAACTCTAAAGAAAAGATTAAGCTGTGCATATTAAGTAGTAACAAATACAACAGATCTTTATCCTTCATAGAAGAAGTATTTTCGGAACATTTCGACTTCTGTAACTACATAATGCCTAACAGTACGATAAAGCAATTACTAAGCGGCATTGATGAAAAATTAAAGAAGTTCACGCTAAATGATTACTGTCTTATCTTCATTGGAGAAAATCATATAACTTCGAATCAAAACTACTACATTAACACTATAAAGTTAATAAATGAGTCCCTTAGTAAAATTACGCACACAAACGTAGTAATTTGTCTTCCTACGTATAGGGCAGGATCGCTTATACACAACTTCAGAGTTGAGATGTTCAACAACCTCCTTCATCTAGACAACCAAAACCATAAATACGCCTATATCTTCGACAGTAATCTCAATCTAACACTTGACATGTTCTCTTACACTACGGGTAGAATCAATAAATATGGGATGAAAAATATTTATGATAATATTATGAGTAACATTAAGATCGATCTACACCTATATTGTAAGACAAATATATTGACAAGCAGCAACAGCAGGCAAGACTGTGACGGGGATTTAACGAGTCCCACTGAAGTTCAATTCAAGCCTGCAAGAAAACCCTAACTTTTTTCGTTTATAATAGTATACATATCCTTCATCAAAATATTGCTGGACTCCTAAATAAAAGCGATACGCTTACTGTATATCTGGAGGAACTAGAAAATAATAGAAAACAAATCGACATTATATGCATAACTGAACATTTCATGACACCTGAACAAGAAGGAATAGTTAATATTCTAAATTACAGCTTAGCAACAAGTTTCTCCAGACATAATAGAAGAGGTGGCGCGTGTATCTTAACCAGGTATGGCCACAAATTTAAAGTATTAAACCTACAAAAATATTCTTTAATCAACGTAATTGAATGCTGCGCTATTGAATTGATAGAACATAACATTATTATTGTTTGTATATATAGGATACCCCAATCTAATGTGGATAAATTTTTTGAAAACTTGAATAATATTCTTCATTTTCTATGTTTAAAGTTAAATAACAAAAAGATTGTATTGTGTGGGGACTTTAATATTAACATAATGAAAAGGAATAAACAAACTTTAGATTTTGAGTATGCATTGTTAAATTACAATCTAAAATTACAATTTTCTCAACCCACTAGGTTAAGCAGTGGAACCTGCTTGGACAATATAGCGCACAAATAAATGCTTGTAAAGGAGAAATTATAGAATTGGGCTTGTCAGATCATACCGCACAGCTATTGAAATGTCCTGTTAAAAAAACGTGCGTCTTAAAACGTTGGAAAATTAAAAGACGGAATTATTGTCAAGATAATGTAAACAAATTTAGAAATTGCATTAAATGTCTCAGTTTTTCGGATATATATACAAAAAGTGACGTCAATGAGGCCTACACCCGTTTCATTGACTTATTTAAATGTTTTTATGATCTTTGCTTTCCCTATGAAATAATAACAAACTCGATCACTAAAAAAGCTAATTGGATCACTAAAGGAATAAGAACATGCAGTAAAAAGAAACGGCAGTTACTATGGCAATATAGAATGAATCCTACTCGAAGTAATCGGAAATTGTTTAAGACCTATTCTGCTAGGTTCAAAAAAGTTATGACGCTAACACAAACATCACGAAATAACTACTTTATCAAGACATCTCAAAATAAATCCAAAGCGGCATGGACTGTAATCAATAACTCTAAGACCAGTTTCCCTAAAGAACCAATAACACAGATTCGAACAGAAACACACGCATTGACGAACTCAATAAATATTGCTCAGGCTTTCAACAAGTTTTATATTAATCAAGTTTCCATACAAAAAAATAAAACTATGCCAGAAATTAAAATCAGCTCAAATACATCAAACTCTCTGTATATGTGGCCAACAACACCCCAAGATATAATTGGCCATATAAAGTCACTCCGAAACACGAATAGCGTTGGTTATGACGGAATATGTACCAAAGTTATCAAAGAAATATCACGATACATAGCTCCACATCTCAGTCATATTATAAATATGAGTATTTCTAACGGAATTTTCCCTGACCAATTAAAAACGTCGGTAATCATACCATTGCATAAAAAGAATGATAGGCAAAATATGTCAAATTATAGGCCTATCGCATTGATACCAGTCTTTTCAAAAATATTTGAGAAAGTCATTTACAAATCATTGTATAGCTACCTTGAGAAGTCAAATATATTAGTTAAGCAACAAAAAGGATTTCGCAAACAAAAGACAATAAACATGGCAATACATGACTTGCTTCTCCCCATTTTATCAAATATGGATAGCAGAAAACCTGTATGCGCTATCTTTACGGATCTAACAAAAGCCTTTGATTATGTAGATTATTCCGTACTCTTATACAAACTAGAAAGATATGGTATCAGAGGTAATGTATTAGAACTCTTTCGGTCTTACTTGACGAATAGAAGACAATTTGTAGAAATCACACAAATATGTTCGAAAACTTGTTGCGAGAATAAATATAAATCCGAAAGCGAGATAATTAAATACGGCGTTCCTCAAGGTAGCGTGCTGGGACCCCTTCTTTTTTTGGTTTATATTAATGACCTTCCGGAACAAATAAATCACCCTATGGTGCTTTTTGCCGATGATAGTACCGTAATCATTGAGTGTGACAATCCCAATACTTATGGAAATGAAATAAATATGACATTGAATAAAATGATATCATGGTTTGATAAAAATAATCTAAAAATAAACTTAGAAAAAACTAAAATTATGCATTTTTATCAAAGGATCACAAACAATAATCTAAATATTAACTATTTGGGGACAACAATTGAACCGGTAACAACTATTAAATTTCTTGGTATTAATATTGACAACAATTTGACTTGGCGATCCCAGACAGACGAAGTATGTAAAAATTTAAACAAATTTGCTTATGTTCTCTATAAATTATCAAAAATTGTAAACTTAGAATCCGTCCTGGCAGCCTATCACGGTTATGTTGTATCAGTACTCAGATATGGCGTAATATATTGGGGTAATTCAGTAGATAGGGAATCTGTATTTAGAGCACAAAAACGATGTCTCAGAGCGATGTGTGGCCTTAACAGCAAGGAAAGCTGTCAACCGTTTTTTATTCGCCTAAAAATTCTTACCTTGCCATCGTTATACATATACGAAACTAATGTGTTTGTCAAAACTAATCTCTCACTATATAAAATAGCCACTAAAAGCTACTACAGAAAATTACGCGACAAGAATAAGTCAGAACTTGAAGTAACTCATGGAAAAACTGCGTTAATGAATAAGAGTATCCTCAGTATGGCCCAAAAAATATTTAACAAACTACCTGAGACAATAAAGACGTTAAACTTAGACAATTTCAAAAAAGAACTATTGAAAATTTTGATAAATAAGTGCTATTACTCAGTAAAGGCCTATTTGGACGACAATTCTATAATTACTACCTCAGACAATAGCGCACAACCCCATTTGTTTTGATGTTTTGAATTTTGTTTGACATTGGCCTATATGACATGTAACTTTAATCGTTTTTGACATTTTATTGAATTAATTCTATTTTATTTGTAATAATATGTATATGCGTATTAATATCTGTTAATGTTATATTTAACGCTAAATAATATGACACGAAAATTAATCTCTCTAGACAAATTGTTAAATCTTGTTAATATTGACATTACTTATGACTTATTTGATGATCCTAATTTTATTTGGCATTAGTATTGTATGACATGTTACTTAATCGGTTTCAATTTAATTTACAATTACAAGTGTCAATTAATTTTTGAATGATGACAATGTTAAATAATTTTAATTATATATAATATTTGTACGCCTCTGGGCAAAACATGGAGAATCTGCCTACCTGTAACACCTCACATACCTATGTTTACAAATAAAAATATTCTGATTCTGATTCTGATCGATTGCTTTAAATTTTTATAGACGTGAAGTTAGAAGTCCGGATTAAATAATAGGGTACTTTTTATCCCGGAAAAATTTGATATTCCCGAGGGAAAACAAAAGTATTAGTATAGATGGCGCTGTGTGTATTGGTATATGTCACATAGGCTACTTTTTATCCTTTTGTGACGCGAGCGAAGCCGCGGGTAAAAGCTAGTAATAATAATAAATCAAAAATGTAGACTTACAGAATAATCCTTCCTGGATTTGTTCCGAGGCGCTCTTGTCTTGAAGATCTCCTCCAGGTCGACGGTCTGCTTGCCGAGCAGTTTGCGCACTGACGGGTGCAGCCGACGCTGGCCATCGCGGAGTATTGTGGATACCTGGTCGTGGAGAGATTGGAAAATGGATGGAACATTTTAAATTCATAGTTAAATAGAAGTTAAAAGCATAACTGGTTTAACTAATATAGTACTAATAAGTTGATACAAAGCTTTAGTCCTTTTTTTATGGAATAATCCGGTAAACGAGTAGGCGGATCACCTGATGGTAAGCATTCACCGCCCATGGACATCTGGTACACCAGGGGTGTTACAAGTGCTTTACCGGCCGGTAATCAATCCTCGTCCCCAAAAGGCCTTTTGGGGATGAGGCGGCTCCCGGCTCAGATTCGAGCCGCCCGAACCGCCGAGTCAGTATTTTGATACTGAGACTTCCTCATACATTTACACTAATATGAGGATGTTACGACATTTAACAAAAGCAGGTAAATATGTAGTTAAAGGATTTCTAAATAAGGATGAATGAATGTAAGACACTTACATCAGCCCTGGCCCTTGGTTCATGCTGTGCAGCAATCTCATCCTGTATCTGTCCGTTGGTGAGCATCAGCTTCTGGTCCTTATAGTAACTATTCACCAGCGCGTACCGGAGCCGGTGGAGGAGGCGGCGGGATGTCGACATCCTGGTGGTAAACATGAAAAGAGAATGTATAGGTACTAATAGTATAAATGAGTTGCTTGTTAAAGTTAATATTCAGAACAACAAACATACAAAAACACGTTTTTATACTAAATTTACGGTCGCGGCGATGTCGCGCAGCCATGAGCAAAAACCCATGTGGCTCAAAACTAGTAAAAATTGTTTCAAATTAAATAATCATTTGTGTAAAATATCAGTTTAGTCACGTAAATATACTAAGAAGAGCTCTACTAGTTTCCAGTTACAAAGGGGCTCTTCTGTGTTTAAACCATTACGTATTTATTGCGATTCAAACTACGGAAGCGTTGAAATCATCTCTAACTCTTTCTGTTGTACTCTTTAAAAGTAATATCAAGGAGTGTCTTTCTGAATTTCGATTTTAGTACACAAACCCCCAAGCAGTAATTAAAGCGTTCAAAGATATCAAAGTTAAGTCGACGGAAGATCTCTGGGGAATGTCCGTTAGGGTGTGTCGGTCTTTTATAGAAACTATAGCGCCTCATTTATCCATTTTTAATAAAAGTGTAGATCACAGTTTTCTCGGAATTAATGAAACATAGTAAAGTAGTTCCATTGTTTAAATCCTGTGATAGCGCAGAACTTAATAATTATAGGCCGGTCTCTATTTTACCATCGCTCAGCGAAGTGTTTGAAAGGCTAATGCTTACTCAGATGTTGCGTCATTTTAACATTAATTCTATCTTTCATGATCAACAATACGGAATCACCAAGGGTCGCTGCACTAGTGACGCGGGAGTAGCTCTAATTAAGCGGGTGTACCATCGGAATACTTTGTGATCTTTCAAAGGCATTCGACTGTGTTGAACATGAGACACTATGCTGAAGCTGGAATACTACGGTATTCGGGGGACGTCGTTAAATCTGTTGAAATCATACCTTCAGGATAGGCAACTTTAAGGACAGGTAAATAAAGTAAATTCTCAGTGTGCTAGCATATCTATAGGTGTACCGCAGGGCTCGATACTGGGTCCATTCTTATTTTTAGCGTACATAAATAACTTGCCCCATTTATTAAAAAATAAACCGCAGATGGTATTATTTGCTGATGACACTTCATTAGTGTTTAAAATAGATAGACGAACAAATAATTATGACGACTTAAATAATGCCTCGTTGGCCGAGTGGTCGCAAGGGCGACTGCCGGGCAAGGGGGTTCGGGTTCGAATCCCGGGTTGGGCTATGTATGACTGGTTTTTTTTTTAATTCTCAGTAGTAGCACGGAGTCTGGAATTGTGTCCGGTATATGGCAATAGGCTCACCCCCTATTACATGGTACTCATAACATTAATAGTGAAAAGTGGGTGTTACATTGTACAATGGCATAATGTGCACCTCCTACTGCCTACCTCTTCGAGGATAAAAGGCGTGATGTTATGTTATATTAAATAATACCCTAATGGAGGTTCAAAATTGGTTTACATTAAATAACTAAGACAAAATGTATCAGATTCGTTTTGCCAAACGTTAAAAGCAATCTTAATTTGTCTGTTAATCCGTTTGATAATCTGAATACATATAAACTTGACACTCTTCTAAATTAACTAAAATTCGCAGCTTACTCACGTGAATATACTGAGAAAGGTTCTAAGTAGACTACGCAACATCGCCGCGACCGCGCACGCTACTTATAAGGAAGAACCCATCTGTGGCTCGGAAACTAGTAAGCTAACTAGTTTATCAGTATATTCACATGAGTAACCCGCGATTTTTACTTAATTTAGTATGTCTCACGATAGTTATTATTAAAACTTGACACTCTTCTGGTTGGTACAATTATCATCATATCAGCCACACTCTATCCACTGCCTCACAAAGTCCTCCCCGAATGACTACACATCGCGAAGTTGGAAGCGACCTGTTTAGTTTCATTTACTATGGCTGCTATAAACCACTTGGGAGTTTAACATAAAATGTAAATAAGGACACCATAATGTAACCACTAATAACTAATAATAAGTGTGGGAGAGCCATGCTTCGGGACGAATAGGCCGGCTCGACCGGAGTGATAGTATCAACGAGCAGAAACCCGTCGTGAAACAACGCTTCCGTTATGTTTCGTCGTGTGAGTGAGGTTACCGGAGGCCCAATTACCCCTCTCTCCTAAATCCCTGAATCCCCAACAATCCTCAAGTTCCTAATCCCCTAAAGGCCGGTACCGCACTTGTAACGCCCCTGGTGTTCCAGGTGTCCATGGGCGACGCAGATTGCTTACCATCAGGTGATCTGTCGGCTCATTTACAGACTTATACCACAACAAATAAAATTGTAACTGATAGCCCACAAGTTAATCACTATTCATTAATTAACCCATAGATCCCCAAGCGGTCACCGGTGACCGCTCTCCACTAATATTACATTACATTATAGACCTTATTTCCAATGTTTAGAGCCTACTTTTGTATGACCAAATTTAGGGGATGGATTTCAACGGGATTAGTGACTGTAAGCTTTAACTACCTTCTGCCAGCGGTTTCACCTGCGATACTAACTAGGATATATAATTATTTTAAACCTTATATTAAACTTGATGGTAAGTGGTTACTGTGGCCTATGAAATCTTGCATCACTTGCATTGCCGACCCTTAAAAAACCTTAAAATGTAGCCTTTGTGTTATTCCTAATGACAATCTATCTCAGTGCTAAATTTCCAGTGATCTTTTTCAATAGTTTTGGCTTAAAGAGTAACAAATGAACAAATTCATTCATCAATACTTAAAAACATTCGCATTTTTTACAATCAACAAGAAAGGGGTAGGCAAAGGCGCATGATTTTTTTTAAGTGTGTAAAATGTCTGAATTATTTCTCCCGCCAGAGTGAGGCGGAAGGGAGTGTCAGACTTTTACTGACTAAAAACCACCCCGTTCCTACTCCTGCACTTCGAGCCGGAGCCCCGGTAACCCGTTATATGGCACTGCTACTGTACAATGTAACACCTACTTTTCACTATTTTTGTTATAAGTCCCATATAATAGGTAAGCTTATCCCCATATATTGGGAACAATTTTAGACTCCGTGCTAATACTGACAATGTTTAAAAAGCCCAGTAATACTTTGCCCAACCCAGGAATCGAACCCGAGACCCCTTGCATGACTGTTGCACTACTTGTGACCACTCGGCCAACGAGACAGTTGTATTGTACTAAAAATATTAAGAATTAACTAAAAATTAGATAGTCAACAAGTATGTTTGTACACAAAAACATTTTTTTCATGATTCAATGACTAATATCAATATTGAATCTAATATTATCGCTAGTTCACATTGTTGTTGAGTTACCATGAACAATAACAGATGGTTTCATTACTTAAGTCAATAAATTAACATCAACCCAGCGTGTTTTCAAGTTCAATGTCATTTTGTTAGCTTCATTTAGCTGTGATAAGGTAAATGATGGAATTTTGGACAAAAATGTGGCCATAGAGTAGAATAATAACAATAGTAAAAAGGCCACCATGGTCATATGGCTGCTAACAATAGCATAACCCCATGGAATGACAGAAAGAAATTATTATTATTAGCTAACCATCCCATGATAGCCAAAGTACAAAAAATATCATGTATCAAAAAGGGTAATACGTCCATCTAATTTCCTTTGCCTAATAATCGCTGCAAAACATCGTAGTTACTTTTTAAACTCAAACAGTAAACAAAGTGACGCATTGACAAGAAAACATGACAAAAAAACACCACATGGTCAAAACAATGCTTTGTTATAAATACTTGAAATAATAAATAACCTCAAAAGCTACATTTAAATAGATAGAAACCAAGAGAACAACAAACCTTTGGTCAATAAGCATAACTTCATTTTCACGGATTTCAAGCTCATTCAAAAATTCCCGCCGGATAATTTCCTTTATTTTATCAACTTTCTCATCTTCTGACAGGCTTGGTGGCTCCTCCTTCACGCAGACCGCAGCGTCAGGGTAATCAGGATCATGATATTCCTGTTTAGGCTCCATTTCTAGCAATTTTTACGGTAAAAAATGAGTAACGCCCAACAAGCGTCGTCCTATAGTTACAATGTTTTACACTAATCTTTGAGTCACGGCACTTTTGTTTTTGGTTGTTTATCACATTTATTCACAGCACGATAAGGTGGGATGTTTAAACTAACACTGTTTTATAAAAAAACTATTGTAGTATTTAACCAATTTCCGCATTTGACAGTGAAAAGGTCAACAGCCGATTCATTCAAGTTTTCAGCTTTTTTTTAATGTATTCGAGACAAGGCACTAGACAACCTATAGATAGGCAAACATTATCGAAGATTTTTTGTGATGTTATCACTCACTTTAAAATAGACGAGTGACTTTGTACTTGTACCTACTTGAGCTGATTGAGACGTTCGAGGCAGTGAACCCAAACAACAATGCAACAAAATTGCAGCAAATTATTCTATTAAACGGTCAATAAAATCAGCACATGGATCTGACACGTGCTACCTAGTGTTCCTACAAACTTTACTGCAAGTACAATATTTTCTATACTACATCCTGCTTGTGTTTTTCAAAAAACAAACTAATAGAAACAATAATAAACGCCACTAACAAGGACTTGTTCTTTAACTTTCCAAAATAATTTTATTTAAAAAATTTATTCACTGGCAACACCGATGTTTTCACAACAATTTTTCTCGCAGACAACAATTCTAGAAACTGTCAAGTTTGTTACGTTGACGTTTTTTGCGAAAATCCTTTCTTTATTTTACTAGAATTGTAATAAAATCTAAAACGGCCTCCAGTAACGGGTCGCCGTCGCGTGGACAAAGGAGCATCGACCGTGATGTAAAGGCTCGCGGGGACGAGCACGCGCCTATGTCAGACTCGCAGTCACAGGGCCCCGAGGCCATGAGTGAGCGACGTCCCTTTTTCTATCCAGACAGTAGTAGTGATACGGAGGAGTACAGAAGGGACGAAGAGCGTCGCAAGCGGCTATCTAAGCGCACTGGTCCGAACATTCGAACGCGTCCTACGATGCCACCTAAGAATTTAAGCACGAATGCCCCGACACCATCGACGTCGACGGCACAAGAGCCTCCGAGGAATGGACAGAAGAGTCAGATTCAACTTGGCGAGGACCGGATTACTCTAGTGGTGGACAATACGAGGTTCGTGGTGGACCCCGCGCAGTTTACCGCCCATCCGAACACTATGTTGGGCAGAATGTTCAGCTCTGGTGAGTTCTTTATTTGAATTTTTTCAACGACAATTTATTGGTATTTTTTAAATTCGCGTTGATTTCGTAATAAAATTGGAAAGTTTTAGCAGGATTATATATGCATTTAAAGTTATTTTTGTAACTTTATTGGCTTTTAATTTTTCATTGACTTTGTAGAAACTTTTGTAACTTTACTTTTGTGACATAGTCTACAAAAACAATTAGGATAACTTTTACTTATGTCTTGCACAGTATTTTGAAATCTTATTGCATTATTTTGTTCATCATTTGAACAATAGAACAAGTTTTTAATTGAAGTTCATTAGTAAAATTCCTGTTTTGATATTAACTTAGGTTTTAATATAGATATCTCTAATAGTTATACAAATTATTATGTAGACTAGAAGAATTCAACAAAATTTAAATAAAACAAATTAATGTTAATCCATTGTGTTGCAAATACTTGAAATGTAAATAAACATTAAAACAAATATTTCCTAATGTTATGAAATTTTTTCTATTTATTGAAGGAATTATTTATAAAACATCTGTTGATCTATAAATATCTTGCTACGATAAAACATTGATTTCTGATTTCTTAAATATATTGGAGAATCTGTGTTAACAGATCAAATAGATTGATTTTTGCTAGTTTTCATCAATAGACTATAATAAAATTATGGTTATAACTAGGTACATGAATCAACTGCTCAATCCCCAAGTAGTCACCAGTGACCACTCTCCATTAAAGACCTTATTTCCGTAGTTTAGAGACTACTTTTCTATGAACAAATTTTGGGTATGATATATCAATATACCCATGGTAAGCTGGAGTATTTATAAGTATTTTCTACTGTGTCTTATATACCGGCAGTCAAGAGGTTAATGAGTGTTATGTACCTGCACCTGTAATTCAGTAAACTACATCCTCTTGTCTGTTGAAAGTTGCGGCCATAATGTGTTTTATACCGGGAGCCGGTGTTACAACAGATAAGAGGATAAAATAAATGTTCAAACTCAGTTAGTGTTTATTACAAACTACCTAATTAAGTTTCTTGTTTTTAATTTATAGTAATTATGATAATTGCTTTTTGTGAAACAGATGCTTGTTTCTATTGGAGAGTTATATTGGACTTTTTTTTTGTATTGAAAATCATCCAATGATTCTCCCGCCCGGGTGAGGCGATAGGGAGTGTCAGACTCTTACTGACTAAAAACCACCCCGTTCCTATTCCTGCACTTCAAGCTGGAGCCACGGCAACCCGTTAAGCCCTCCATGGCTCCGTATCGGCATCAGCCCTATTGAGCCCATCTGTGGTTGTCTGATGGCTCCATGAGACGTGCAGTCAATTATGAAATAGTTTATTTCAAAAGAAAATTGCCTCATGCTATGATTTTCTCCTGTGTCGTGGGTGCATTTACAAACATACAATTTTATATACACATGACACCCAGACATGTGATCCACAAATTATTGAGCTCGCGGAAGTAGCTAGTATTTTATATACGAACAAACAAAAACTGTATAATAAGTAATGGTATATTTATGGAATTTTCCAGAAAATTTATATTATTCAACTAATGTTAGTCATGGTGCAAACGATCTCAATTCTGAGTACCGTAAAGGTGAGTAATTTGTTAAAGAAAGTGGTCTGACGCAATTTAACAGTTATTGTAGGTGTTTCCCCATGAATAATATCACACCTTTTTATCCCTGAAAGGGTAACCAGATGTGCTTAATTAGAGATACAGTCACTTTTTCAGTATGAGTCTCTGATAATAAGAAGCGGTCAATCTATTGCCTTATGCTGGCACAATTCCAGACTCTGTGTATGTATGTACTTAAATAATTATTGAGATATACACGAAAAAAAAAATGACAAAAATTCTTTGCACTACCTAGGAATCGAACTCATTGCTAGGCCGTTGCACACAGCTGATATTGTACTGGTTAATTTTTTATTAGAGAGTGCTGCTCTCGGTCTCTGTGAATTGTGTAGTTCCTTTTGTTTTTGAGGGGGAACATCATCCAATGACTTCTCCCACCTAGAGTGAGGCGAGAGGAAGTGTCAGACTCTTACCGTCTAAAAACCACCCCGTTCTTACTCCTGCTCTTGGAGCCGGAGCCCCGGCAACCCGTTAGGCTTTCCGCGGCAAATGTGTAGTTCCTAAGTCGGGTATACGACACCCGCGGCAAGAGTAGGGGTGATGACAAATGTATTTTGGTCTGAGGTCACTAGGTACACGGCACGTATTTATTCTTTCTCGTTAATTGCCCCCATTTCTCTCAGTATGAGTTTACAATTAACGATGAGTCACTTGTAGGTCTAAAATGTTTACCATCGGTTCATTGGTTAGAGACAATACTCGTCTTTGCTTCGTCCTAATTAGTCTACATTAATTGTTTATGGTATATTTTGTTTGACGTATTTTTATATTACGGCTATATCCTTGTTGACTGGACAATCTCTGCACTACATTTGTCACTGTTTACATGTGAACATAGCTCATGACGATACCTAAGTACGTGTGTCGCCTGGACAGTCTACGCTACATCCTTGTTGACTGGACAATCTCTGCACTACATGAGCTGCTGTTTACATGTGAACATTAGCTCATGACGATACCTAAGTACGTGTGTCGCCTGGACAGTCTACGCTACATCCTTGTTGACTGGACAATCTCTGCACTACATGAGCTGCTGTTTACATGTGAACATTAGCTCATGACGATACCTAAGTACGTGTGTCGCCTGGACAGTCTACGCTACATGCTTGTTGACTGGACAATCTCTGCACTACATGAGCTGCTGTTTACATGTGAACATTAGCTCATGACGATACCTAAGTACGTGTGTCGCCTGGACAGTCTACGCTACATCCTTGTTGACTGGACAATCTCTGCACTACATGAGCTGCTGTTTACATGTGAACATTAGCTCATGACGATACCTAAGTGCGTGTGTCGCCTGGACAGTCTACGCTACATCCTTGTTGACTGGACAATCTCTGCACTACATGAGCTGCTGTTTACATATGAACATTAGCTCATGACGATACCTAAGTACGTGTGTCGCCTGGACAGTCTACGCTACATGCTTGTTGACTGGACAATCTCTGCACTACTGAGCGCTGTTTACATGTGAACATTAGCTCATGACGATACTAAGTACGTGTGTCGCCTGGACAGTCTACGCTACATCTTGTTGACTGGACAATCTCTGCACTACATGAGCTGCTGTTTACATGTGACTAGCTCATGACTATAAGTACGTCATTTACATGTACTGCTACATGTGCTAATTTAATTATATCGATTCATCACGACAGAAGATTCGTGGGCCGAAAATAGATAACTGCGCAGGATGATTCTTCTATTATTGTATTTATAATATACATGAATACAATTCCAAAAGTTTACATGAAGCATGTCTGTTTGTTAATCACATCAAAATGGCTGAATAGAGATAGGCAGATTAATTCAGTAGAATTACACATAAATATAACATCACGCCTTTTATCCCTGAAGGGGTAGGCAGAGGTGCACATTACGCCACTGTACAATGTAACACCCACTTTTCACTATTTGTGTTATGAGTCCTATGTTACATGGGTGAACCTATTGTCATTTACCGGGCACAATTCCAGACTCCCTGCTACTACTGAGATTTTTTTTAAAACCCAGTAATACTTTGCCCGACCCGAGAATCGAACCCGAGACTCCTTGCCCGGCAGTCGCACTTGCGACCACTCGGCCAACGAGGCAGTAGAATTATGTTATGATATTCAGTCAGCTTACCCAC